ACTAAAAAGGGCACAGTGTTGTGTGCAGCTTGTCTCTTCAACCCCACATCTTTCCCCTGCAATGTGACTCTTTGTTTCCCTCCTGCTGCTCTTCCATCACCACCATCTCCTCTGACCTCTGCTCTGTTCCCCACTCTCTGCCTCAGTGCCTTCACCTGCCACGGCCGAAAGGGCTCCACGTTCTTCCCCCAGCCCCACTTCATCCACGGGGTGACACCTCCCTGCAATTTGCCATCCAGCCCCCCAGCCAGCAGTACATCCTCCTGCCCAAGGCACGGCAGCAGAGCCACAGAGCTGGAATCACTCACCAGCAAAGCAGGATCCCTGCAGACACACCGAGCCCTGCTTGCTTTGGAGCTTGACCCTCGCGCCAGGGGGAGAGAGCCAAAGGCAACACACCACTTTGTTTCACTTAATAAAATGGTGCTTTTGGCCTGCTTTCCTTCTGCACACCCCTCTCCCCTCCTCCCACCCAAACACACCACGTTCCCAGAGCGAGCCACTGAGACTGGAGCTGTGTTTGAAGAAGAGGAGCTGCTCTTCAGCAGGTGCCTGGTTTGTGTGTCCATGTCCATGTGCACATTCCATGTCTGTGAGAGGCTCTACAAAGCTTTAAGGCATGACATGAACTATGAACATGTTTCCTTCCCCCTCTCCAAACACAAGCACACCCCTCTGAGACATGTGGTGGCTCCATGAATTAAATATTGCTGGTGTGCTACAGCATCATATTGCAACAAACACCACCATTACCTGCTGTTCCTGCATTGCTGAATATTAATTTTAGAAATTTCCACTGAGTCCTCCATGAGGATACCCAAACCTCCTACAAGATTAGCACATCCCAACACTACACTACTGCTCCTCTTGCTTTTAGAGTCCAGTTTCTCCCCAGTGCTGCCACTGCTGCTCCCCAGGTGCATCTGCCCTGTGTTTCTTTTGCCAGGATCCCTTGAGAGCCTTCAACAACCAGCTCTGCTTCTCATTCTAAAGGTTTAAACTCGGTAGAGTCCTCCCAAGACACAAAATCCATCATCAAGGATCACTTTGTGAAAGCATCCTGCCCTTGGCATCCCAGCCCAGCACATCCCCCCAAGGGAGCATCAGCTGAGCAGGCAGCCTGGATACCTGTGCCAGGCAGAGCCCAGCAAAGGCTGCCTGCTCCAAAACGATCCAGGATTTGACTCTGGGTGAATCAAATTGTAATTCACAAGGTAATTAATTGGACAAACTTGCTTGAAAACAGATTCACGCCACAGAATACTAAACTTGCTGGAAAGTCACCCAGCACTAGATTTTTTTTTTTTTTTTTTTTTTTTTTTTTTGGCTTAAAAAAAAAAAAAATCAGACTAGCGAGGCAGTTTATCATGGTGTTGTTTGTTGTTGTTTTTCCCAGCAGAACCCATTTATGAGGGCAATTTCAACTGTGCTTGAACAACAGAGACAGGAAAAACAACTTATAGAAGGCAGCTCCTGATGTTTCCAGGGATGCATAAGGTGACTCTACCAGAGCTGCTAATCATCCATTTTGACTGCTTTTATGGGTCTGGGAAGTCTGAAAAAATTGTGTATAGGAACCAGTCTGCATTTCAGAATAACATTTCCTTTCTGATGACACACAGGAATGACATTTAAATGCTGCTTTGACAGATGCATTATTTTATTAGATGATTTCAAGCAGGACAAACACAGGAGCTTTGTTTTCCCTGTTACTGTAAGGCTTACATCATCTGAAACATTTCTACTGAGAGGTCTCATTTCAAATGACAGGGAAAATTGTTCTGAGAACTGCATGTGTTAGTTCTGCCTCAGATGCTCAGGTAATTTCATCCTTTGCAGCACCATTTCTAGGTGTTTTGCTGGAGAGGGATTTCATCCTCCTCAAAAGATTATTTGCTGACGTCTGGGATAAGTTTAGAGTCTCATCATTTGCCTGACAGGGAACTGCATGGCAATTTATTTTGTCTAATCTAATACAGCTATTAGTCCTAAACCAACCATTCTTGGGCTTCTCTGCCTGCACCCTGGATTTGTCAAGTCCACCCAGTTCTGCCTTTTTGGGCTGGTGACCCCTATTTTGAGAACTGCCACTGTAAAAATCAGAGCAAGGAAATCAGAAGGTTCTATTTTCCTCTACTTTCAGCCACCTTTTTTGCAGACAGACACGCGGAACAGCTGTGGCAGTGGATTTCCCTTGGTGCCAAGCAAGCGAGCAAAATTTGGAAGAGAGAATATGCTTTCGATACTTTTTTGTGACCTCTCAGGTTCTTTGTTACCACACTTTCTTCCTGCCATGTACCACGAAAGCTGAAGCCAGAGGAAAAGGGAGAAGAAGCTTTATGAAGACTTCTAGCAGTGACGGCTAAATTGAATCCCGTTGTTACCTACTGGTATAAAACCAAACCTGCAGACTGTGCCACAGAACGACACAACATTCAGCTGTTTCCAACCAGATGATCAGAGCATTTTAAGAATAAGATTCAGAACCTGCTGTACTTATTAAGCTGAAGCCTCGTGTGGCCTGTGGTGAAACTGGGTGACTCAGACTCGAATATAATACTCTGTCCTTGCAGCAGAAATAACATCGCTGTGTTGGTAGAAAAATTCAGAAGAAACTCACTCCTTCCAAAAGTTTTGCCTGTATGTAATTTAGCTATCATGGGCTGCCCATACTGTATCACAAAAAGAGGTGAGAACTCAGAAATTGCTGATCACTTTGTTTCAGCACGTGAACTCAGGCTGCTGCTTCGAGTTCTGGCCTCAACACAACAAGAAGCTGCCGCTGGTTTCTGAACAACCCAAGAAATTCAGACCACCTGTTTAGGTAGCAGACAAACTGAAAATAACTCCAGCCTTGTAACACCATTCCAGTGCTTATACTTACACGGCAGTACACGTGAAGTCAGTTTAGTGTCCCCCTCTGCTGAAACAAACAACTGGACCAAAGGGAATATTGTGAAAAAGAGGGTAAATATTTGACAGCTGTAAGAGAAGGAGGGAGATAAACCCTAAGTACAGCATCAAAAGAGACTTTGGACACTTTTTTGTAGATGATCTCCTACTGCGGGAGATGAGCAGGTTCTTGGCACACGCCTAAAGAAAGTTTGGCTTTTGTATTTGCAATTTACCAGCTGCGAATGTTTCACTGCAGCCAAAGGGTAACTGGTACACAGCGGAAACACAAAGGATAAAAAGTAAAAACAAACCCCACGCACCAACTAATTATCTCCTTATTCCAAACTGGAAACTAACCAAAAGAAGGGAAACAAAGAAGGAAACAACTAACATTTTGTAACAAGCCAGTTTATTAAACTCAGGCAGTGAGACACAAAACACAACGCTAAGGTCATTGGGCAGGAGACTGAAGCACGGCCAGCAGCTCAATCTTCCCCTTCCCTCTGCCCAGCTGTAGGGATGACAGTCAGATTTTTAACTCAGCATGTCAGCAAATGTAGTTCAAGGTTCCCAGAGCCCCAGAGGACACAGACACAGCCCCCCCAGCGGGGTCTGCAGTCCCTCCCCAGGCACGGCAGGACGTGTCCCTACCATCACGTGGCTGCTTCAGCAGAGAGCAAAACAAAATCAAACCAGACTCGCTCTAAGGTGAAAGTGATGTAGGTCAGCAATCAGAATATCCTGTCAGAGGTTGGGACAAATCATGAAATAATCTAATCTAACTATTTACTTAATATACAGGCCACAAAATTTCATTCAGACCATAAAACACCACCATTACTGACTCCGGGCCTCATCATTTGATGGAATTGTAAACAATCTTCCCCAAATTCATTCCGTATGAAAACCAGTGGCCTCCAACGGCTCTAAACATCCTCTGATTTCATTTACACCATCTTACACCTGCCCAGTTTTCAGCAGCACTTCTCATGCAACCATTTGTCACTGGAGAAACCTACCAGCAGCAACCCAACAGATTCCCAAGCCTAAACATGAGGAGGTCAGCCAAAGTCGGGGGCAGCACAACATTAGCACGAACATACTGGTGGATCCCAGTTGTTATTCTAAGGATATTATGCCAGAAGAAAATACAATAACCTCCTGAAATGGATGGTAGAATCCCTCCTGGAATTTCCTAACTGACAAAGCATTGAGGAGTAGGTCTGTCTTAGTGCATGCAGCGGGTTAGCAGTTTAACTTACAGGCAAAAGGAGTCTCAAAGCAACCTGTGAACACAGCACCACCTTCCCTGCTATCTATTTTTCTTTTTCCCACCCTATATAAACCCTTCCTACACACAGCTGGGACAAACCTCCACTGACATGTATTTGGCAACAGCCGGAGTGTTCCCAAAGGTCCAAGGACCTGCTGGAGGCTCCTGCTCCCAATCAGGCAGAAAAAAAATGGGGCTCTGGTCTCCCTTCTTTTATAAGGCACCCCAGCTATTATTTGCCTGTTCCTGGAAGGCCCTTCAGGCACATTTAGATCAGAAATTCTGTAACCAGAAATTGTTTTCCTTTCCAATCAGTTTTTCCCCAGCGTGTCTGTCGTTTGGACATTTTATCTCAGGCAGAGGCACACAGACCCCATCAGACATCCTAAGAGAATCAAAACAACAAATACTCAAGGTGATTAGAGCAAGAGAGAAAGGGTGAAGCTTTTCAATTTCAATTCCATATATACTGAAGAGCAAGCCAAGCAGACAACAAAAAAAGTCACCTTAAAACTATGTGTCAAGGTGGACTCGGGCAAGTATCTCCTTCCCTGCTACACCAAAGTGAGCAGAATATACCCATCTGATGCAGCTGATTGGAAATACTGATGTTGTACAAACCACAGTTCCACAAAATGAAAATAAATTACATGTTGAAATTAAGAAGGGCACTGATTTTAAAACAAAAGGTTCTAATTTGTTCTCCTAATGAGCCATTTTCATTACTCTCACAAGGGACAGAAGCGCTGTCCCAGCAGGGATATCTGTCCTTCCAGCCAATAAATGGAGCATTTCTTCATGGAGATGTAAAAGATAAAGTAGTCATCACTTCTCATTTTAGAACAGAATCTGTTTTTATTCAACACAGGTTGGTAAAGGATAAAATTCACAATAACCAGCATTAAAAAACAACAAATGAACCCTGCAACAATATTTAAATTTGGTTGTACCTACTGGTCACTCACATTTCTACACACACAACTTTGTCAGTCTTGCTCATTTCCAGATCAATGAATATTGACACCCAATACTAACAAAACACACTGTTTATCCACAACCTGGGGGATCTTTAGTTTTCAAGAACGAAAAGCAAATCTTTGTCTTTTTGTCCAGCAATTTTGTAGCTGGGAGGAACCAAAATGCTGCAGATTGACATGGAAGGAGATATGGGCAGACTGAGAGTCCCAATTCCTGCCTACAATCGATGCAAGGAAGGCCTCAGCCCAGCACCTCCAGCTTCGTCATTAACCCCTACCCCAGTCACTGAAGTGCAAAAGCTATTCAAATAAATAAATAAATAACAGCAGCAGCCCCAACAAGTAAAACCCAAAACACAGTTAAGTATCTTTACAGCCTGTAACTGCAAAATACAACCAAAAGCTTTTTAAACTAAGACCTCAGCCCACAGGGAACAGCTTCTCAAAATCTGAGCGCAGCAGGGTTTGAATTGTTTCAATAAAAATATAAAGCTCTGCTGGTTCAGTCCACTGGGATAGAAGTCCTTTCAAGTAACATTGCTGCAGAATTCCTTCACATTTAACTGCAGCCCAAAGCCCAAGCACAGCCCAGATTCATGCATTCAGATGTCGAGACCTTCCCCAGTGGTCTGAACAGGCTTACCCAAAATGTGTGAAGTCAACCATTCATCCAGGTAAGTGCAGGGACAGGGCCTACCTACAGTTCCTCTGCAAGGACCCAATACTTTCCTTAAGGCCCTGTGGCACTGAGGTTTTCCTTCTATCTCCATTCAGCAAAACAGTTAAAAACGAGCACCTTCTTACAGTGTTCAAGTCAAGCATAAATCAGGTGCTGAATCAAACCAGTGAAGCGACTCAAAAGACTCAGCAACTACAAAATTACAGCCCTGGAAATTAGGTGTTGTGCCAGCACGTGGAACACAACACCAGCAGCTGATGAGACATTTCTGCAGGACTGTTTCAGAGTGTTCTGTTAATCAAGTGTAAAGACTGCTGCATTGTTTCACAGAACTGAAGAGCATAGTTCAGAACAAGACATATTCCTAGAGCTTTAATAAATACAGTTAAGGACAACAATCTAGCCTTTGTGATTTAAGTATAAACACCTCATACAAAAAGGATTTCTTTTCACTTTATACATCTTAAAAAAGAAAAGAATCACAGAAACATCTGTTTGCAAAGCAGCTGTACAAAGAAATTACATGTTCTGAAGACATTAAACCATCTATTTGCTGGATAACACTAGTTACTCAAATGTTCTCTTACAAACTACTGCCCACACAGGTAATTTTTCTGATATTTCGGCTCCAAATCTGAAATTCAGAGCCACTGGAAATGAGCCACTTGAGAGAGATTTCTGGATATTAAGGCCCTGATCTGCAACTTCCACGTGTGCACCCCAGCACTGAAATCACGAGTACCCAACAGAGATCCCTGTGGCAAGTGGGCACTGAGGCAGCTCTTCTGCTCAAGCCACAAGTGCTGTAAGAAAAAGGACAGCTCACAGTTCACGAGAAACCACCTCTCATTTCAGCCCAGCCTGGCAGACAATTATGTGACGTTTGCACAGTCAGTTTATAATGCCCTGAAAATCATTAGAGCTCCCACTGGAAATTCTGACTCATAAGCTGCTTTTTGTTGCTTAGGACTCCTTTTTTTTTTTTTTTTTGCACAATCCTAACTGAGGACTAACACTCATCCAGAGATTCTGTGAAAACTGCTAATTGCAGTACATGGCAAGAGTAAATTCCATTCCACTGCCTACCAAAAGGCTGGATGTTGTCCTTGGGAAGTAGTACTGTACTTAAAAACTAATAACACAGTGGGTGGCTACTGTCTGAGCAGCTTCAAAATACTAATAGCAGCACATCTTAATAACCAGCTGATATTGTCCTCTACAAAGAGATGCCCTCAATGTACACAAGATGACATAAGAAACACACACTTCGCTCACTGACACTGGGACAGCCACTGCCGGGCTGGTACAATTTCAACTTCCTTCTGCTCCAGTTTCGCCTTGATTTTCGGCAAAAACACAGTTCATAAGTTTAATTAAAAAGATCCTATCAAAAGAAACAAAAAAGGCACTTGGTATTTCTCTTTGGCTCAGTTGAGGCATGCTGCTAAAACCTTCCCAAAGTTCCCATCTCTTCGTCTGATGAATAGTTGCCATCCTGAGGTACTTACTCATGTGCAAAAATAAAGAGCTTCAGGGAGTTACCAGCTGCATTTCTCACATTGCTTCCAGTAATGGTGCAAAGTTCTTCACCAAACAGAATCTCTTAAATACAGAATAATACATCCCATGAAGTCTGGATTTCAGGGAAGAGCTCCGACCACTGGCACAGTCCTTATTCCAGCTCCCCTCTTGTAGCTCAGTGCTCCTTAAACCTGGAAAAGAACAAACCAGGCAGGAAAGGTCGAGGTGTGAGACATAACAGTCACCAACTCCAAAGTCCACGATCCATCCCCTGCCATGTGTTTTCTATTCTCTCTCCATTTTACTTCTCCAAAACTGCAAACAAGGGGCTCAATTTGGATTTTGCATCTGCTGGCATAACCCCACTGATTCAGTGGATTTTTTTCCCCCCCCTCCATTTAAACCACTGTAAATTCAGAGTCACCCTTTTCTTTAAGGGGACCTTTTGGAAAAATGTGCATTTGAAACTATTATTAAACACAGACCAAGGAATAGAGGGGTTTATTCCCCACCTGCAGGATGAAACCCAGGAAAAAATACACCATAACCAAGAGACTGTGACAGAAGCGTGTTTTCAGATATTTTTAAAAGATGTTCTGAAGAAAACTGTTCATGATTTGAAAACATCAAACTGGGATTATTCTTTTGAAGCAAAATTAACCCAGACATAAATGGACATACATTAACTGTAACATTTTCAGTCTAGGTTATGCATTACAAGGCAAAGGTTGGACTTGATGATCTTGGAGGTCTTTCCCAACCTTGATGATTATATATGAAAGGATCAGCAACATGTTTTAAACCATTATTAACAAGCAATAGCAATACATAGCACTTACAGAGTGTGATCTGCATCACACTGAAGCTCCTTCTGAATAAGACGGAGTAAGAGCTGCGAAAACAATCACAGTATCTGTGTTAGTATCTATAAACAGACAAACAAATAAGCTAAGAAACTTATTTCAGGATAAGATGTTCATTGTTACTTGAAGAGTTTCTCATTTGAAATATTACCCTGTAATGCTTAACTCAGTTTTAAAAAAAAAAAAAAATTAAAAAATTCAAAGATTTACAGATGCTCAGTCAATGTTTGGAGGAGGAGTTTTCACAATGAATAGCCAAGAGGAAAGTAATTTCCTTTCTGCAACTAAGAGATCAATTTTTTCATAAAAAAACCAGAACAGTTTTCTGGCAAACATGTAAAGAAACCAGCAGAGGGAACCCAAGACTTCAAGAAAACACGGCAGATAGAAATTTTGGAGCATACAAGTATTTTAACTGTTATTTGGAAAAACAACTCTGTGTGTGAAAAGCTTTAATCACACAATTAGTCAAGATGAGCCAAGTTGGTGTGTCTGTGCTGGATCAGGAATTTCAAGTGCACTTTAAAAGGACTACTAAGATAGTACCAGCAAAGTGATTAAAATTGGTGATTCTCATGTACTTGAAAGACAGAAATAGAACGTTCAGGGTTCCTCACTGTTTCAGGCTACATTATCCTCAGACTCTCACTGTTATAAAATAGAAGTTTCTTCACTATTCTAAGTATTAGTGTTTTAAGAAGTTAAACCTAACATTTTAGAGGTACAGAAGTGGCCAAGAATGACAGAACTGAACACCACGTAAGAGACTAAAGCCCCTCTAGGCTCCCTTGAAGAAATAACATTTGAACACTTTATGCTGTAGTGGAAAGGACAGTAAAACCAGAACAAGAGGATTTATTACAACAGCCGGGTCAAACCTCTCAAGAACAGAGCTTTGCAAAGGTGTTTTAATCGATTTTGCAAAGAAATGTAGTGTTTTAACTGATTCTGGAAAGAAGCCTGGTGTTTTTTTTATTTTCACTTGGTTTTAATCAATAACTATAAAAGAAAAAAAAAAAAACCACAACAGAGCTTTAGGTCTACTTGGGAGAAGTACAATAAGCTCCAAAACCTCACTCTGCAGTATGAAGTACCTAATACTGAAAACAGCACAAACTGGGATTTATCATACTGTTGACCACCAATATGGCAAAATACATCAGCTATTAACTTGCCTAATCTATTTACTGAATTTCCAGAGATTTCACATCCTAAATGTGAAATTTAAAATTTTTGGGGTTAACTTGAATTTAGAAAAAAAAAAAAAAGCCTCAACTGTAACTCAAAGCAAGACTTTCTCATGTCAGAAAGGAACAGTCTGACACTCTCAGCATCAGCTCCTGGGAGTGTTTCACAGTCACCCTGCCCTTTCAAGAGCACTTCCACCCAGGATTTCAAAGGAGAGGAGAAGCAGGTGACACTTCAGGACACCTCTGAGGTAGTTCACAGCATGATTCTGGTCTGGGGGAGAACAAAGCAGGTACAGACACCTGCCAGGGGAATCTCTGGAACACACAAAAACGTGACCTACAGGTGGGTGCAGCAAGACTGACTTCAAAGGTACAGCAAGACTTGCCTTGCCTCTTTTTGTGCTTGCCTCGGTCTTTAAAAGCAGAGCAGAGCAAGTCAGAAACGAGAAAAACCCAACCCAAAGCCCTCTTCAGATCTTTCTCTCAAGCACACAGGATTTCAGGAGGAAAAAAAAGGGAAAATGGATGTGCTTTGAACCAAGCCACCACCGTGTGCGCGCTCCGCTCCTTTCCCCTAAACATCTGCTCCTGGTTACTGTCAAAAGTTAGGATGCCAGTTTTTCATCCAACCTAATACAGCAGTCTTAGGGCCCATCTGGAAAATGTGATGTATTAACTTTCAACAGCTTCATTATCGCGGTGATTTTGGGGATACAGCAACGTAGGAGAACGTTTGTTACCACTTTGCTCAACCTCCTTTCAAGAAAACAGAAGTCCTTCTGCCGTGAGAGGAATCTGAGTCAACTTCTAGGTCTGGATATGAAAGTTTATTTACAACTAAGCCTGCTGGAAGCTGCTCAGCCAGCAATTAACAGCTGTTAATTCCTGTTGCTCAGGAACTGCATCAGATCTAAGTCTCCACTTTTGATTAAAATTAGATGAGAATTTCAAAACGAGCAGATTTGCTCTTTAATTGAAAGTTTCCTACACAGTGGACGTTTCACAGAAGACAGAGTATTGAAATTGCAAAGGGAAACTTGCATTTTGGGATAGTTTTGCACAGAGGGAATACACAGCCACTAAATAATATTTGTAGACTTACTAGCAAGGCACATGCATCTGCCACCATGAGCATGTAAAACACGTTGTTCCAACCAGATGGGGAAATAAGACCAGCCAAGAGAGGCCCCAAAGCTGCACCTAAAATACAGTATTGGTGTTGTCAAGCTGTGCAATACAAGATGTACTATATTGAAATACAGTTACTCAGAGTATCAATTTTTCCACCTAGTTTAGGTTAGGTATCAGGAAATGTTTTTTCCCCCCAGAGGGTGACTGGGCACTGGAACAGGCTCCCTAGGGAAGTGGTCATAGCACTGAGCCTGACAGAGTTCAAGAAGTGTCTGGACAATGCCTTCAGGCACATGGTGGGATTTTTGGGGCGCCAGGAGTTGGACTCCATGATCCTGATGGGTCCCTTCCAATTCAGCATGTTCTAAGATTCTAGTTAACTCAGTATTACCTTAAGTATTAAAAGGTCCCAGAAAGTACAAAACACTACTGGTAGAGATACAAGCCAAAGGGAAACCTAACCCAGGGAAGCTGGAAGGCTACGTGTGTGATAAATGTCTGCCCTTGGCTCAACAAAATGATCATCTAGTGTTAAGCTGAATGTTACTCAATTTTCCCTTCCACATACCAGTGCAGAGGGCATGAATAAAATATCCCTGATCCTAGAAACAAGTGGCATCTACTGTTGCTGTCTGTGCCCAGCATCAGTCTAAAACCCTCTTCCTCCCACCCTCAGGTGTGGGACCACCAGAGGTTTCAGGCCAAGTCTCTGCCATTCCCCATTTTCAAAGCTGTTCTGAGTCCTGAGCTGAAGTGAGAGCCCAGTTTGTCAAAGATCCTTAGTTTTAACCTACCCCAGCCAGGGCAGGTGATCTTCAGCTCTGGCTTACCTACAGATCCAGTTCCATCGATGATCGCCGTCACTGTGGACAAGGCTCTTGCGTTCCCTTTCAGGCTTTTGTGGGTACCCTGAAGTGACAAAGACGGCTTAGACCCTCCTAAGCTGAACTCTGAAGAAAGTCCTTGCAACATCATCCAGCTCACACCCCTCCACATTAGATACATGTTGTGAAGATGGCTTAAATATCCAGCAGAGTCAGGCCCGACCTTCCAGCCAGCAGCCCCTTCAACAAGGATGAAATGGGCAATGCACTGTGGCCACCTTGGTCTTGCCAAGACCTCCAAGCCCAATGACAGGCTCCAGAGATTTCTGTCCTGCTCCTTTTCCTGTATTTAGCACATTTGTTAGAGGACTTCTGCTTCTTGCTTGGTGCCTTGAGGAACCAACACCTTCCAAAGCCTCCCTAATGAACAGCAGTGGGGTTGATGTTTTCACATGGCATCTGTGACCTGATCCACCTGAAGTGCTGTCAGCCTGAGTAACTGCAGGGCTGAGGGCACCATGTGAATCCTGACTTTTTATTTTTATATACTTCTACTTTTGTAAAAGTCTGTGGCAGGTATAGCTTTCTTCCCCGATAGGAATTAAGTCACCAGCTCATCTCTCACACAGGTACAGCTCCTCCCATCATTTAAAGATATGAAACATAAAAAGAGAGAAGGCGCCTGTACAGAGGCCTGGCTTTGCATGCAACCTTCATGTTCGTGTTGGGCTGTCATCTACAAGGTTTGCTGCCTTGTTAGTGGTCAAGAATAATTTAGAGGCCTCTCACAAGCATGGCACTCCTTCACACTAACACACAAACTAAAACAATCTCAGTGGGAGTTCAGCACTGCCTATCCAGCTCCTCTGCTCTGGGACAATGCAGTCCCTTCCCTGTTGACCCTGCAGAAGTCAAAGGGCTCTCTCTGGAGGCCAAACTGCTACAGGGAAACGGAGTGGAAGCCAAACTCACCAAGTCAGCAGAGACAGCAGTGGTGATCAGGGCATAAGGGCCATTCACCAGGGCACCACTGATAAGCAGCATCACTGTAGAAAGTTAAAAAAGTGGAAAATCTGAGTTGCCTGAAAGACTGTTAACAGGAGACATCACAGCCTATGGTTCCCAAATGGTTTAATCCATCTTTGGCTCCCCTGACCCCATTACAGAATTGGGAAAGAAAGAAAACCAACATATATTCCTCCCTCTCTTCAAAATGCTTTATTTCATGGTGTGAATTCTCAAACATAACAGAAGACGGGGCTGAGACGAAAAGCACTTCCCAGGGCCTTTATTGATCCTGGTAGGTCAGAAAAAGGGGACAATTTGACCAAACTGACTGTAAGAGCAGGGTTACTCACAGGATACACCCATAAGCCCCTTTTCTGCTTGTACAGTACCACGGGATCCTAAAACTGACTGAGGCCTTTAGGCAGGGGAGACACTACTGTCTGTACTTGTGTTTTAATTTCTGCTTTGAGGTAAGAGATAGAAAACCACAAGTGAATTCAGCCTACACAAGTAAATACTGCTGTCAAAAGTACTACAAGCAGTCTTTAAACACCTCTGACATTTGGTATAGGGAATATAATAAGAAGCCTGCACTGACACAACAAGCTCCAGAAAGACTTAATTATATGAACTAAATCACTGTTCTCATGCCAACCTTTACTCGCTTCCTACCTCCTCCCTTTACCCTGTAAAAAGTCTGCAAGATCAAGTTTAAGGAACTTGCTTCCAAACTTCCTCCTCTAAGGGAAAAGATAAAATAAAAAGGAAAGAGCATCAAAGGAACATAAATTAAAAGTTCACAGAATGCTAGGCAGAATAATTTAAAAATACTCACCCACAGTAGCCTCAAGTCCCATTTTACTGACTGTAGAGAACATGTACAACTGTGAAGCCAGAAAAATGAGTATTCTGAATATCAACACACAGACTAATCCCAGGTTCCCTATTTTCCCCATGTTAACTACAAAATATCTTAGCTGGTATTACATGAAAGCTAGTTCCAGGTTTGACTAAATCCTTTTAGACCACAGCAGAATGATTGATTGGATACAGGAGGGAGAAAAAGGGTATGATCCTATTCCCCAGTATGTCCTGTCAGAAGGAAGGGCTGTGTTATGAGACCACTCAGTTTTAAACTCTCCAACTGCACCTTCAACACAGCACAGAACAGTGCTCACAAAAGAATAAAAGAAAAATGCATCTCCTGTGTATGACTGCCAGTTTTCCAACAGCTACAGCACAGAAATTTTAGCCTCTGAGCAGGTAAAATTCTGGCTAAGAACTACACATCTACTTTCACAACACAGTGAAAGATTCCATATAATCTATGACAAACAATACATTAAACTTATTTGCTTGTTTAGTAAAGGCAGTCCCAAATGTCTATTCTTGGCTCAACTTTCCATGCCAGTTTTTAATCTGGCCTGAACTCTTTATATCCAAGTTAGAAGATGCTGCCTGCAGGACTGTCCAAGGAATGCTGTCACAGTCTCAGCCACAGCTGAGAGGGGCAATCTCTTACCGTGGGTGCTGCGAGCAATAACATCATCCCACAGGTTGATGCCCTCTTCTCCAGCCTGTCTGAAATGAGACCTGCCAAAATTCCACCTGGAAGAACACACAGGTGTGTGAGGAAAACACTCAGTGCCTGTTTTACACAAAAGACATCAGTTTACTCAATGCAACACAACCCAATGGCTTTTACTCTACAGTTATACACAGCAGCACAGCGTGTGAGCCTGACAACATAATTCACGCAGCAAAATCCTCACTAACCCAACCAGTTATGACTTGAAGATAACAGAAGCAGACTATTGTTCTTCTTCCTTGTTTATTCCAACCGAATATCCAAGGCAAAAAGCCTTTTTGGCAGGTCATGGCCCCAGTGCTGGTGTTCTGGAATCCAGTTGTGCCCAGCTACTCACCGGTCTCTTAACTCCTTCAAGTTCTCAAGTTTGATGTCTTTGTCATGCTTTGACCACAGGAAATGAGCTATTCTGTATCTTAGGGCAAATGAAATATGTGGTTTTCTCTCCAGGTAGTCAATCCAAGCTCTTTAATTTTCCCTACTTCTTGTGTTTGCCAACAACTGTACACATTGCACTAATGGGAGTGCGTGGCTGGAGGGGGTTGCAAGGCCTGAGGGAAGGAGCTGCCAAAATTATACAAAGGGAACTTGGTACAGGGAGAAGGAAAGGAAGGTCTCTGGATTCTCCAGATTCCTAAATGTCATCCTGGGCCTGCCTCTCCCTTCCCAGCTGCCCATCTACAAAGTGCTCACATCCTACTTGTATTTAAATATAAATGCCAGAGGTCCAAGCTGCACTGGAAGGTTGTTAAGCTTGTGTTCACAGCAGAATCAGATGCTGCTCAAAGACATCAGCCACATCTCTAAGGTACTACTGACTCTGGCTATTTGCTCTCTGGGATGAAAGAAGCAGCGAAAAATGGCAGAAGTCACACCCAGCACAAGACTGGAACAGAAACTGCAACACACCTGGACACCAACATCTTGAACTACCAGGGTCTACTCAGCTCTTGATCCAGGGAAACTTCTCTGTCATGAGCATTATTTTCCAATGGACTGATACAAGGCTTATTTCCATAAGGGAAGTGGGGGAGGTGGACAGGGGATGGATGTGTGTGCTAAGTAAACCAGGCTTCAGGATGATGATATTTGTTTTATTGTGAGCTATACAGTCTACACTGGCATCGAAATTTAATTATTCATTGGTCATCTCACAAATTAGAAAGTAATAGCCTCATTATTATGACAATCTCCCAATTTTATCACATGCAGTCATAATTAAAAAAAACCAAAACACCTGTGGCAAATCATCTCTGTGCCCACAGAAAATACACAATATACAATTTGTTTTGTTAGAGTGGCAAAAGGAAGATATTTTGATAGGTGGTACGACCCAGACTCATGAGTCAGAGCTGATGGAGTTATTATTCCATAATATTACTGCCACTCCTCTTCAGTGGACACAAAACACAAAGACTATATAATAATATATGTAATCTGTGTGTACCAGAGTTTTTCCCTGAACTGGTGTGAATAAGGGTGAAATATGAGTATTAAAACTTACCAAAGATTCCACCCACATCAAACAGTGTAGAAAGGTCCCCAGCTCTTTTGGCATCAAGATGCTCTAGTGAGGGAAGCAAAACATTTGTGTCACTTCTAGACTACAAAAGACAGAAATCTCACCACAGTCTTGTCATGTCAGGGCAAAGGCATCTTACAGCAATGCTGTTTATTCACAGGATTAAGCTGCCACAAGGTGACATTGTGCAAGAGAAATATATCTAAGTGGATATGCAGCAACACAGCTTTTTGAATGCAATCACAATCACTGCAAGAGACATTTTACCACTTTTATAATCATGGAAATATAGAACGATCTGGGTTAGAACAGACCTTTAAGGGTCATCCAGTCCAAACCCCTGCAATGAGCAAGGACATCTTCAGCTGGATCAGGTTGTTCCCGACCTGATCTTGAATGTTTCCAGGAATGGGGCATCCACCACCTTTCTGGACATCCTGTTCCAGTGCTTTACCACTCTCATTGTAAAAAATTTCTTCTTTATATTTAGTCCAAATCTACCTTCTAGTTTGAAATCATTACCCTTTGTCCTATTGCAATAGGCCCTGCTAAAATGCTGGTCCATCTTTCTTGTAAGAAGTACTTATTCAGTGCTTCTTTAAGTACTGAAAGGCAGCAATAAGGTCTCCCCACAGCACTCTCTTCTCCAGGCTGAACAACCCCAACTCTTTCAGCCTGTCTTCACAGCAGAGCTGCTCCATCCCTCTTGGTGCCTCCTCTGCACTCGCTCCAACAGCTCCATGTCCTTCCTGAGCTGGGGACCCCAGAGCTGGAGGCAGCTCTGCAGGTGGGGTCTCATGAGAGCAGAGGGGCAGGATCCTCACCCTGTTGCCCACACTGGTTTTGATACAGCCCAGGACACAGGTGGTTTCTGGGCTGCCAGTGCACATGGCTGGCTCATGTCCAGCCTCTCATCCACCAGCACCTCTCTGAGCCTTCTCCTCATCCACTGTCACCAGTTTGTCAGTCTTGCTCATGAGGAGGGGGTGGAGGGGGAGGTACACTGACTCTGACCTTTCTTTTTTGGGTGACATACCTGTAGAAACCCTTCTTGCTACTCTTTGAGTGCCTTGCCAAGTTCAGCTCCAGCTGCACCTTGGCCTCCCTGACCTCATCCCTACAAAACTGGGCAGTGTCCTCAGACTCTGCTCAGGATACCTGGGCTGCCTTCCACTGCCACATGTGCATTTCCTCCTTGCCCTGTAGTTTGACCAACAGGTCTCAGCTCAGCCACAATGCTCTCTTGCCTTCTCTTCCTGATTTCTTACACCTGAGGATCAGGAGCTCTTGTACTCTATGGAAAACATTCTCCAAGATCTGCCAGCTCTGTTCTGCTCGTCCCTGAGGGCAGTTTCCCGGGGGGTTCTATTGATCAGCTCCTTGAGCAGCTGGAGTTTGCTTTCCTAAAACTCATAGCCCTGACTTTACTCTTTGCCTGACTCAGATCCCTCAGGACTGTGAACTCCACCAGTAAATCATCACTGCAGCCCAGGCTGCCTCTGATCTTGATGTCACCCAAGAGCTCAGTTGTGTTGGTGGCCCTCAACAGTGCTTGGACTGTATCCATGCTGAAGTCTGGCCTAACAAGTTTCCTGTTTGTGAATAACCACATAAACAGGAACAAACACTCACAAATGAGGCTCTTTGCTCTAAAAGCATGATTAGTGTAGATTTGGATCACTTACAGAGCCTCATCCTGGAGGCCTCCACCATATGACCTGTGATATCCATCACTAAATTATAGCTTGGCACAACTTGCACTGTGCAGTTCCAGGGGACTGCAAAGACACAGGGACTTCCTCAACTCCACAGTTTGCCAGGGGCACTGAAGACCACTGTGCACATACTTATATTTAACTTAATGTATCTATTGATTTGCTAACAGGGTCAGATTCACAAAAGTACATCGGGAAGTTGGGCAACCCAGTCCTATTAAGTGTGAAGTTTCCAAAGGAGTTGAATTTCTAAAATCCACCTTTTTTTTAGAAGCCTCTGCAATACAATTTACAGAGCAGTATGTGCTAAGGCAGAAGGGTCAGGGGCACCACCATAACCTCACCAACATCTGCCACAACACAGACAACAGTACCAAGGTAAACATCATTCACCTTTCTCCTAAAAGCCCAATGCTCTCAAGGTACCCAGTCCTGCAGAAGCACTGGCTTTGGTCCACACATAAGAGGTTTCAGCTACAGGATTTGCAGCACTTCGTGCTTTCACAGGGTGTTCAGCCTGCCTCTCTCTGCTGATTTTTCCTGCCATACTTGCCCAGCACATCTTTTCTGTTCTGGGGGTTTAAAGGTCCCATCATGGCTCACAAGAACATGAATTTCTCTGGTTAGGGAGAACTCCTTTCTCTGCACTCTAAAGTACAAAAAACCAAAACAGCAGTACTGAAACAGATAAATAAGTTAATTTAGATTGTTTTGTACAGATTTGAATAAGACACTCCAATAATGAAAAGCACTTTTAGAAAATAAGTCTTTTTGATTTGTTTGCAAAAGCCAAAGACACAGCATTTATACCTGGAATTGTTGATGATGTCAGATTCTTTTGTTTGTTTCTTTTGAAAATGCCCTCTTGTAATACTGAATTCATAAACCTGAGAAATATGTTAGCTGGTGACTTACAACACTCCTGCTACTGCAGCAGAGAAAGCCTCTTTCAGAAGCAGTAATGTTTATTTTCTTATTTATTTCAAGCTTGCATTCCCAGACACTTTGTAGTCATAACTCTGTATCCCTTCACTGTGATACTTACCTACACTTGTGATATAGAGGGGAAGCCAGAAGAGGAAAGTGTAGCTCACTAGCTTTGCAAACAGAAGACAAAGGGAGAACTCTACAACTCCCTGAAAGAATAAAGAAAATAGGAAGTTAGTATCTTGACAGAGCTATTTACTTTCAAAAGCCATTATGAAAACGGTTTCTAAGAAGCATTTAGGCTTCTCTTTTTCTCTCGAGAATTCCCAAGAAGCATTCTTCCCCTGAGAGCACAAAGAGCAGACTGTGGTATTTTACTTGTATTTTTTTTTTTCTCTTTTTTTTCAATTGTACTGAATTGACTGAAAACACTAAAATGGTACAGAATAACCTGAAGAGAGAACACTAAAATGAAGGCGAAGGATTTGATACTGTTTGGGACACTTGCATCACTTATTTTCCTTGTGTAAAGAGTTGTCATACAGCATTACAGCGAGTTTGGAGTGTATTCCAGAGCAACTGGCATCTTTTTGTGCTTTTTAGATCCTTCCTTCAGATGGGCACAAGATTTCTTCCCTATTGTTCAGCTCTTTGTAAAAAGCCAGTAAGCCAGTGTGACACAGTTCAAATCAGTATGTGGCAAGAGCACACAGGGAAATGACATATTTTAGACACTGACTCGCTCCATCCTCTTTCCTGCTGGGAACATAAAAGTGTACTTACTGCACAGAGCTGCAACTAAACTGCCAAATTAACCTACCTTTATTCCCCTCACCATCTGATAACTTCTTGTTTGAAAACAGATTCCTGAAACCCCTGGTATGGAGGGCTGCAGTTAATCTCAGGAATAGCACACACACAGAGCTGGCCCTACTCCACATGGAGCTGTGACCCTTCCCATTAGCAGGCAGTAAAAATACCACAGAGGCTCTGAGATTCCAGGTGGCAGCAGCAGTAATCTTTCTACCCACTTTACCACAGGAAAAAACAGTTGAGGACCAGACTGGAAAGGATGAGAAGATCCAGGAATATAGTGGCTGAGTACTGGGTATTTCCTCCCCTACTTTTTATATATGGTCCAAATTAATTTGCAAATAATAATTTTTCTGCATCCCACTGAAGCTTTTAGGCTTCTGTCCGAGAGGACAATCAAGTATGACAAGTTCTGGCCTAAAGGAAACTTCTTTTCCTTTACCAGCAGCCCAAACGTTCGGGTTGTTTGAAACTTCTCTTACAACAGATTATAAAATTAAAGCTTTTAAAAACAATGCTGAAGAATGTAAAAAGGGAAGCCATGGAAGGCAGTTCTGACAAGAAGTGCTTATAGATTCAGTCTGTTATTCCATCCTTAGCACCCACATGTCATTAAGAGTAAACTTTTAGAAGAGACTTTAGAATAGAATAGACTATTTCAGTTGACCTACAGCAGCCATCGAGTCCAACTGCCTGACCACTTCAGGGCTGACAGAAGTTAAAGCACATTAAAAAAGGCATTGTCCAAATGCCAAACACTAACAGAGAGAGATCAGCACCTCCCTCTCCACCTCCCTCCTCAGGAAGCTGTAGGGAGCAATGAGTTTGCCTCTCAGCCTCCTTTCCTCCAAACTAGACAAACCCAAAGCCCTCAGCATTCCACGACTGTGATGCAAAGTTAATATATCCTCTACCACTCCATCCAGATCTTCACAGAAACATGAATTCTGAAGCAAAACTTAATTCTTAGAGGAACAGCACAAGTACTCACAGGTATTCTCAAGGCCCCAAGGAAGCTGATTGCTGATGTCCCATGTCTTCCTTCCCCACTGACCACAGTGCTGGAGTTCAGGGACACGCTGCAGTTTTCACTGTCAGTAAGTAAGTGCTGCATTTCTGGATCCTGCTGTTTCCCCCAGCAACCACGTGAGAGAGAAAAGAACAAAGAATCAGAATATGTGTACAAAGAAATCAAGTAATTCCAAAATAATTTAAAAAAACAAGTATATATTTTACCACTGAAAGTTACAGCTTTTAAAAATACCTTGACTTCAATAGGCAGAGTAGATACAAAGAGAGTATATACAGAATATCAGGTGAAATAATTCTAGTTGTTTATGTTTGAGTGCATACACTCTATTATGGAATCATGTTTCTCTTCTATTGTGGAACAATTTCACATATTAGAGTACATTTGGTGGAATAAAACAGTTTCCAGGCGTCCCTTACCCCACTACATAAATGTGGTGTAATAAAAGCTGACAATCTACTGAATACTACAACACATTTCCATATAAAGCATGTATTATCTTCTTTCTGTGCAAATATTAAGCCCATTTTTCAGACTCTGCAACACCATCTTATTCACTGATTTAAATACAAGCCATCTTTCCAATTGAATTATGGAAATTGGGTGTTTTATGTTAAGAAATCGCTTATTTTTTCACCTCTGTTCCATTTGAGCATTGCAATTCCCAAATTATAAAAGCCTGGAATGTACCAGCATTACCTAAGTTGTGAATTCTGAGTCCTTTTTTAGAACTAGAAAGAATTTTACCCCAAGAATTCCACTGGCTGCTAAGAATACTTGTGGAGCAAGTTACCACTCAACAAGAACAAGCCATCCCACTGTAGCCATGAGGGTATATGTTATTTTTACCCATCCACCACACTGAAACAAACTCAGAATAGAACTGGAAATTTACATCTTACAGCTGTACACAGGAAAAAGAAATTTCAGGTATAAATAGCTCTCAGTACCTCTTTTCCAACTCAGAAAAAGGATGGGATGTAGCTATCCTCACTTTCACCTGCTCACTGAGAAGCTTTACCTGGCTGTGCACTTTTCCTAGCTATGTGTTCTACATACTGTCTTCTTCCTCCTAATTCTTCAGCATTTGAATAAAGCCTCAGTGAAGAATTAAGCCTCAAATATATATCTCACTGTTGGTTAGGAAGGATAAAACAACAGGCCATTCGATTTCCAGTATTTATTACAAAGATTAAAACTTTCTGGTTAACATTTGGCAAGTTGATGGAGGAAGAAAGGAGAAAAAAAAAGTGTTGGAAAAATTCAATTCTGCTATTTTACACTCTGTGTTTCTAAGTAAGTTCTGTTTTTAAAGAACATCATTTAGGAGAAGGTACTAAGGAACCATCTGCACACCTGAGCCCAGACACTTAGCATAATTTTAGAAGCCACCATGCAGCATCCAAAATTCTCTACATGATTTGTAGATAGGATACAGGATATACCCTGTACCCTGATGAAGTATTAAGTGGAAGACAGCAAAAACATCTAGGGAGCTTTGACATGGCACTGTAAACTGTTCATGGCACGAGTCACTCCATCATCATCATCATCAGTATTTATCTTCTGAATTACTGGAGCGACTTCAAAACTTGAACTATTTTAAATGTAGTAATTTAGCAACTGAATTTTGGATTTAGCAATTCAAACCATCAGCTATTAACACTTAAAAACCATGAGAGAGAGAGAGAGAGAGGCTTAAGCAGTGAAGTTCCCCCTGGATTCACTGGAAGACACTTCCAGGTAAGTGTCTAAGTGCACAATCTGCACAGCAAACTTAGCCAGCATTGTCTGAGGCAATGCTGCTCATTTCTCAGACAAGTAGGTCTAAATCTGTTTTGAAAGAGTGGGTTAAATATTGAAGTAGAAGTGACTAAAGTCCAAAAAAACTTATTTAACTCATGCTGGAAACTTCTGTCGACAATATGGGATTTTTATGCTGCAAATAACTAAATGATAAATAAAACCAGCAGTTTGTGCTTGGCAGAGTTAACATTGTACAGCCTTGCCAGCTTGTCATAGAGCATGATTAGGCATATGGCACACTTTTGATCTCTGGGGAAGGATTCATTATCCCTCAATTTTGTGTAATTTTTAAGAGGCCAACCTAACATAAGCAGCAACGAATGCACAGAGGTATTCAGATCACGCAGCCAAAAACACATTCTGCTTTCAATCACTGCAGATCCTGAGTATTTGCTTTCTTTTTACAGTAATTGCAGAGGTCAATAAAAACTCAGTAAAAGCTGCCATTCTAGTGTGCTTGGAGACCAACTCATAAATGCAAAACATCTGCTGTTTGTACAGGCTCAAAAGCTGACTGTGAGAATCAGCTCCACGCAACTGCAACACAACCGCTGTGAAAAGGAAAGATGTTCAGCTCTGCTTCTGACAGGAAAAAGATGTTCTTCTGTCACTGGCAAAAAATCAGGAAGTCCCAAAGAGTGACAAACAAGGATTTTTAATTCTTTTATTCATTTCTTTTTAAACCTCGTTAAGACTCCGCATTACAAGCGTATAACCCAGCTGGCAGCGTGGAGAGAGGATGGGGGGAGAACATTGCCAAGGCTGCCAGCAAGTGGGAATTTGCAGAAGAAATTCTCCCCTGTGAGAGTGGTGAGGCACTAGAAGAGGTTGCTCAAAGAAGCTGTGGCTGCTCCATCCTTGGAAGTGTCCAAGGCCAGGCTGGATGGGGCTCTGAGCAACCTGGTCTAGTGGAAGGTGTCCCTGCCCATGGCAGGGGGTTGGAATGAGATGATCTTTAAGGTCCCTTCCAACACAAACCATTCTCAACCATGATTCTAAGTCATGATGACAGAGCTAAAATATAGTCACCTGCTGATATTCTTATATCTCTCCCCTTATCTTCCAGCTGGTTGGGAAATAATCCTGACAAATGGTTTCTGGGCTGGAGACTGTTCTTAAGCAGCTGGAAACAAAAATTAAGAACTCAGTACAGAGGGAGCTGAAGCTGGGCTGATCAAAATGATGAGTGAAGTGTTGCCTCAGCAAAAATTTCAAAACCTTTTTACCAGCACTGATTATTGTACCCTGTGAATACTCATTATTATTCTATGGGCAAAGGATGAATGGAACAGGAAGTTTCTATTTTCCTGGAAAAGTCTGAAAGAAGTTGGAAAAAAAGTTATCCTCTCAGGATACAATGTGCCAAGTGTACTGAATACAAATACAAAATTTCAAATGGAAATTTTCAGTTCATGTCCATCACAAGATAAAATATCTTTTTCCTCATCAACCGGCAAGTCCAAAATTCAGTGTCTGCTGAGAACTATCAGCACTTAAGGCTGCAAGTTTTAAGCAAGATTTTTCTGAATAATTGCTCGTTTTCAGAAATATCCATCTCCGTGTATAATCTTGGAAGTACATAAAACTGTTGCATTCAAAAGGGAGATAAGTGAGACTGCAAGGACAGGACAAACACGATACACGTAAGTTCAAATATTTCAAGTGGGCTATCTCCGAAATATTTTTCAGTGCACTGCTGGAATTGTGTCAAGATTACAAGAAAAGACCAACTGAGTGAGCATGTCATCTCATTCAGCTCTGTCAGCAGCATTTATGTCAGGAAATGCTTAGTTCCCTCGTCTGAAATTACATTTGTGTATGAAGATGGAAGGAGATTTCAGAATCATAAAAGGAGGAGCAATCTTCACCAACAGTAAATCTACTGTGAATGTTCCACGTGAGCCTTAGGAAGCCTTCTACGCTATTTTACAACAGTATGTTATATTTTACCTGAAGTTTGCCATTTTCCTTAGCATTTAAGGTCGGCATCTGGATTCTGCACCGAGATGTACCATTCAGGAAGGTTTTAGAACTCTGAAAAACAAAACAAAACAACTCCATACCTCTGTTGCTTGTTTTTTGAAAGATGACATTAGTGTCAATCATTTCTCTGCAACAAGTTTTTGTGCATTGTAACATAAACATAACCCCAAACAGAACATCTTTAATTTAATGACTGTGCATTTTGAGTTCTCAAAGTTCTTAAGCAGACCTATGGCAACGTACATAAAATGCAATCACAAATTTATCTGGAGGCTAATTTCATGCTGGTTTTAGATAGAAGCAGCACACTGACTTCAGAGCACAGTCATGCCATTCTTAACATCTTTGGCTGCTTTTTTCTCTACTGAACTTACTGACATTACAAACAGTTTTTTCTCATAAGCAGATGATCCCAGCAGCAACCACAGGAGTTGATTTGTTTCAGGAAAACCTTGGTTCTTCACTTTCCTATCCCTTTAAGATTAAAGTTTATCCCTGTAGATTATATTCTGAGGCATTATATTCTTTTAACCCAGAAACGGACTTGTGGACAGGAGTGTTAATGAAGAGTCTGAGCAGCTCCAGCACGTCCAGCAGAAAAATCAAGGCAATAAAGCTACATTTTAGGTACTAGATGGTCCTGCTTTTTATACTTATTTATGAACAAGTGCATTAGTGTAACAGTTCACAACAAAATTGCACTCCATGGAAAACAATTCTGTGATCTTTGGTCTAAAAAGGTTTACCAGGGACATTAAGGTTTGTCTGCTCAACTAAATATACAACTTTAAAGTAGATTTGCAGCCAGGTATGGACAACCTATTGCTAAGACCAAAAGAAGTATTGTGCACTCTTCAGGTGTGAGATGATTTTTTAAGTGTCTACTCACACACTTGATGCCACATTAAAAAAACCCAACCAAAAAACCCAAAATAAAACAATAAAAACCGCCACGAACTCTGCCCCAAATAATGCACCCCAACCCCTTGAGCTCACCATCACGAATGAAAAAAGAATGCAGATCCTCCCTGAACATTCTAATTCCAAATTAATCACTGGGTTATTCTTCCCCAACAAAAATACAAGGATATGTAATGCAGTACTCCTTAGGCAAACTGCCATTCATCACTCAAATCCTTCTAAGAAGGCAAAAAACTTTTGAGGATAAACTGAAGTATTTCTGCTGCTCAGTACAGAGCTGAGGCAGCAGCAGTCTTGGGCACGAATTCCTCAAAATAAACCAACAACACTCAAGCCCCTAAGGGTCTGATAAAACAGATGTTTAAATTTTATCTTACAGAAAAATCTGGCTTTTGTCAAAAATGTGATCTACAATGATCCACAGGGAAGAAAACCCATTATCTAGAGACAAGTCATCTACATCTTTAATCAGCAGCTCAGCACAGGAAAAATGAATGGCTTTTTCATTTGACTGTCAAAAAGTAAGATTTACTGTGGTAAGGGGAAAACGTCTGGGGAAAAGGACTAGACTGAGAGGCTGCACATTTAATACTTGGACTTATTTCTCCTTTTCAGAAGATAAAAATTTCAGCATGGTAATTCTTAAGTGCACAGGCACTTTGCAACAGGAGTTTAAGAGAGTTAAGTTTCCTGGGAATGCAAAGTCAAGAAAAAGGAAGTTCCTAGAGCATTAAGAAGGTCTGAATGAACACTATGTAACTATGGGGGGAAAAAAAACTCCAGGGAGAAAATGAGAAGCAATAAAGCCAGTTCTAAATCACCACATTACCCAAATGCTGTTAAACCTCCTCTTTAACTTTCATGATGGAAGTGCACCAATGCTGAATAAATCACACTGGCTTCTCACTTTCATTTGTCATAGCTACTGCCTTTCAGAAAGTCAAAGATTAAGCCTCCAGTGTGGGGATTTAAAAGCCCTTCATTGCACTCAAGTGTTTACTTGGAAACAAATTTCAGATTGATAAATCAGAGCCAAGATGAATACAAGCAAATGAAGCACAGCCCAGGAAAACAGTGGATAAAGAATAAGAACCACACATTCAGGGCTCTGTGCCTGCCTTGCCTTCTGTGATTTTGGACAACTCAATGAAATCAGATTACTCACCACTACAAACTCAGTAGAAATACTGGGCTCACGATCATGCTGCAAATAAACAGTAGACCAAATTCATCCAGGATAGTGATATCACACAGAGAGGAACCTGACCTCTGGATCTTAATATAAATCTACACTAAAATCCTCCCCTCAAGCTCAGCATTTATTTTAGTGGTGCTTAAATTTAACTGGCCTCATTTTTCCACAATGAGGTTTGGTTTTTAGCACCAGCCAGCAGAGCTGCCTGCACCTAACCAAGGCATCTGTCCAAAATTACCTACTGCAGCCTGATGAGAAGAACAAGTGTAAATGTTTCTTTAGTGTCTCAAAAAAAAAAAAAAGAAAAGAAAAAAAAGATTTCTGACCATTTGCAAAAACACAAACGTTGTTCAGGTTGACACTGAAATGACCGAGCAAAAAAAGGTCAGCAAGCATTTTATGCCTGACAAATTCCAACCCCTGTACAACACAGCTGAAATATTCTGTTCCCAGTATTAACACAGTCTTTTACTACATGAACCTTCCTTCAATAAGCAATCAGTTTTCTTTACTGTCAGACACTGTCATTAGCACACCTGCATTTGGAGGAGATCGTGAACTTCTCCTCCGACCTTATTAATTTCCCTAATTTCTAAAACCACCCTCCTGCAGTGAACAGAAGCTGTGAGCTTACATCCATTCACTAAGGATGTGGAATCCTTGCAGAACACACAGGTCTGAAGAGAAGTATTTGAGCAGTTCAAATAGGATACAGTTTCCCAAGACAGTGGTGAATCTTACTCTGAAAAGGGTTCAAGGCAGGTGGGGAAGTATTTTTATAAACTTCCCACAAGATTTCCAGATGTGAAACGGGAACAGGGAAGGAAGAAGTGATGCCTTTAGCTCTGGAGGGCAAGGTGTCCAGGAAAACTGAAGGTCAGATGCATCCCATGCAAAAAAATTGTTCCTGGAGAAGGGATCCTGCTGGTGCCCTAAAGAAGATGAGGCCAAATGCTAGTCTTTTTCTGGGACTGATGGAAAAAGTAGTGAATAGAAGGGGGGGAAAGCTCCTAAAATGCTAATTTTTTGTTAGAAATATCACCGCAAACAGATATTTAATGTCAAAATTTTCCATGCCAGTTCCTTGAGACATATGAGCAATACACTGTGCAGAGCTCTTTAGTTGTGCTTTCCAGCCAAAGTGTATTTGAAACAAATGACAAACATTTACTTCCATGAGGCTTAACAGCAAATTCTGTAAACAGGAGGCTCTAGGTGCTCCTGAACTCCATAAAAGCTAAGGAAAAAAAAAAAGACACTCCTAACAGGAGGCAATGAGAGTCACTTAAAATACTCTCATACTTGACAGAAGTTACCTTTGAGAAATGAAAGAGAATTAAATGAAAAATAGAGAACGTACTGTGATCCCACCTTATCTCACAGTAACAAACTAAGAACAGGAGTTCCCCAGACCACTGAAAGTATTCAGAAGATTTATCAGAGTACTTCATATGAGGAGGAGAAACCATTATCTGGTAAAGAAGAGATAACAGACTAAAAACATTACCTTCAGTTACTATTCAAGAGCATTTAAAATGTAAAAAAAAAAACCAAAACTATCTGAAAATATTGGAGGGGGGTGGTAAAAAACCAGCAATCATCCCTGTACAACCTACTTGTGAGACTTGCAAATAAAAGCTATAGTTCACATGTACAGATAATTTCCATCTGGGATTCCCTTGGGACCTTCCCTCTGACATTTCCTCCAACAGCCCTGACTTGCTTTCAAACCTGGGAAATCCTATGACCTTCTCTGCCAGTCATCCCTACTATTCTTCCAAAGAAACAGGTGAAAACACGGCAGACCAGATTGCCCACAGGTTCCTGGAAGCCAAAGGAAAAGAAGGCTGGGGCAAGAGCTGCTCTAGGTTGTGGTTACAGTAGAGACAAACACATACCAGAGCCTTAGGGAACATGAAACAAGATGAACCTCTAAATACACTCCTAAACAAAACTTGTCTATGAACAATATTCTGTTATGAGAAGTTATGCACAGCTGGTCTTCCTAATGCTCTCTTTTTTGTTCCCTTCCTTTGCTTTTTATTCTTCTCTCATTCTATTTTGACTGCCTCCCTCTCTTGGGTCACAGCTACGTGAGGCAAGAAAGGAAACAATCATCTTCTCATTTTAATTAAATATTTCCAAGGCACATCTTTCTGCCATTGACACGACTTCCTAGAATACTTAATTTTGAGCACATAAAACATCCTGTGAACTTTTGTTTCAAAAGCACTGAGCAAATATCTTGGTAACAGAGCTTAACCACTTACAACCTACTTCTAGTGTTTGAACCATCTTATAGTAGGCATTTGGAAGAGAAAGCTTTCCTTTTAGAAACAATTTAAGTAGTTATGAGTTTTGCTGCCGCAATGGTACACAAAAATACACATACAATGTTCAGCAATCCAAAAAAAGCTTAAGACATTTGCACATACACATTTCAATCCTGCTTCAACAACGTCTTAAGAGGTCAATCTCTGATGTGGACTTTCAAACCACCGTGTCAGGAGAGTCACATCTCCCCTTGTGATACAGCAACATGTGTTACACAACTTGTGTGTGACAGTGTATTTACAACCTAGTGAAGTTCACAATCTTGACAAAATTTAAGCCCTTGAAGTATAAGCCCTCATGCAAGATCCCCTTGATGCCAGTGAAGCATGGGATCAATGCATTCTAAAAACTCCCAAACATCTACGTATAAACAGCATCTCCATCCTCGAGGATTTCAAATTTTAGCAGGCCAGCCCTAAGCAATTTGATCCTATGTCAAATTTAGACCTGCTGTGAGCAGAGGATAGAACCACAGAATCCCAGAATGGTTTGGGTTGGAAAGGGAACAAAGATCATCCAGTTCCAAACCCCTATGATGGGCAGGGATACCTTCCACTATCCCAGGTTGCTCAGAGCCCCATTCAACTTGGCCTTGAACACTTCTAGGGATGAGGCATCCACAGTTTCTCTGGGCAACCTGTGCCACGGCCTCACAACCCTCACAGGGAAGAATTTCTTCCCAATATCTAATCTAAATCTACTCTCTTCCAGTTTAAAACCATTCCTCCTTGTTCTGTTACTACATGCTCTTGTAAATATTCTCTCTTCCATCCTTCTTGTAGGCTTCTACAATGTTCAGAGGTCCTGATTCAATCTAAATTATTCTGGGATGCCACAAAAACTAAAGCATCCATCTGTCATATGATTCATACAACTTAGCACAGATCTTTTTCTCTCTCCTTTTCACATTTCTTCATTAATTTGAGTTTTAGACAAATAAATGCCACATTATATCACGGCTAAACTCACTGTCACAAACTGACTGACTGCTCCAATCCCTTCAATTCAGCTTTAGATCCATCCCTTGCTTTTCCCTACTCATGTGCTCCTACTGTCCCTTCCTTTATCCAAGGGAACATCCCACCACCCATCCCAAGCCCACAGACACATGCTTCCTTGACCCTGTGTCAGCAGAAGGGCTGTTTGCTCTTTCTGCAAAGCCTCATACAGGGTTCCCAGTGAGACCCTTCCCAGGATACAGCTGGCAGCAAACTCACTATGCCATACCTAAGCAAGGGAGGCAACAGCAGGAGATGGAACAAAATGCCATGAAGATGCCCATGAAGACCAGAGGAAAGAAAGAAAACTCAAGAGAAAAAAAAAAAAAAAGAGATGGACACTTTTTCCTGTTCTACTGTTGTAAGATCATCTCTTCCAAAATTTTATTTAAAACAAATTAATTCACCTCTTGATTCACTTGCTTTGAGAGAAAATAAGGTTCTGGTTTATCAGTGAAGCACAGACAAATCATTCCCTCAAGAACAGGATCAGTTATAACAGCCTGGCACGAAAGAGCCACACGGACTGATTTCCAGAACTATCCTAATAAACGTGTATTAAGAGGCAAAAATCAAAACAGAAAAAGCATTCACTTACACTGGATGGTGTGCAGGAGCAACTTACATCTTTAGGATCTGAAATACAACACCACATATAGTTAACAGTGAAAAGAAGCCTCTTAAAACACTTTCAAACAGCGTTATTTACTGACAACAAACCAACAGTACAAATAACAAGGGCTATTTTGGCAGTCCCCTTCTTTACAGAATTCTAGTTATCTCTGCAGAACTCTCTACTTTCTGAGATAGGACAGTTATAGTATAAAATAAGCATTCATATCTCTGAGTCTTCATAGGGACAAGATGGGGCATTCTTCTTTAACTTCTAATTTAAAGGGTCACAACCTGCTCTACCAGCTGACTTCTGTATTTCACAGCACAGAAGATGGATGGCATGGGTTGAATGGTAGCACAGAACATACACTGCAGCCAGGTGGGACGTTCTGCTAAGACACACTTGAACAATTTATCAAGAGTGGAAACTAATAACAGGGTGGTGGACTCAATTCTGAAGTGTACTGGAGTCATTCTGGGCAACAGAGCTGGGGAAGGGTCTGGAGAATAAGCCATGAGGAGCAGCTGAGGGAGGTGGGGGAGCTCAGCCTGGAGACAAGGAGGCTCGGGGGGACCCTCTTGCTCTTTGCAAGTCCCTGACAGGAGGGTGGAACCAGGGAGGAGGTCAGGCTTTGCTCCCAGGGAACAAGGGACAGGATGAGAGGAAATGGCCTCAAGCTGTGCCAGGGGAGGGTCAGGTTGGACATCAGGAAGAATTTCTTCATGGAAAGGGTTGTCAGGCATCAGAAGGGGCTGCCCATGGAGGCAGAGGAGTCCCCATCCCTGGAGGTATTCAAGGAACAACTGGACATGCCACTTGGTGCTCCGGTCCAGCTAACAAGGTGGTGATTGATCAAAAGCTGGACTTGATGTTAGTGGTCTTTTCCAAACTAAATTACTCTTAAGCAGCTGGTGTTCCTCACCCATAACGAGAGCCCCCCATGGTTCTGTCCCTCTGAAGCACTCACGTTCAATGAGAAACAGGAAGCAAACAATCCCCATCACAGCAACGATGACTCCGGGCACCACGAAGGAGAGACCCCAGCACGTGGACACCCAGTAAGCAGCAATTAAGGATCCCAAGATATTTCCCACTGAAGTGTGTGAATTCCAGATTCCCATGATCAAACCTCTCCTGCATTAAAAAAAACCCAAAAAAACAAAAACAAACAACAACCCACAAACTTTTCTTATTACAAGCATTACTGGATTGAGAGAAGTGTATCAAAAATAGCTGTTTATCTGTGCTGTTACTGAAATATTTCAATATTTGCAATCTTATGGTTCTTTAACTGATCGTTTCTTTATGCTACAGTCTCCATCTGGCAATTTCAAGGCATCTAAATATTAATAAAAGTGTTGTAAAATACTTCCCTGTGCATCGCAGAACTCATCCTGCATTTAATGGCATTTAAAGACACCATTAGGGCTTGCATGTTTCTAGATAAGAGTTTTTTTGATTTAAACAAGTATGCAGATGTTGTGTAGCATGTGAACATGAAGTCTGATGCTTTTGGGAATGAAAATCCTCCTGCAAACACATTGCCCTGATAATCTGATGCTTTCAGGACACAGCAGACTTACCATGCAGAAGAAAACAACCTGTACAGGATATGTGGAGCAAATTCAGTATTTTCTGGTCGCATTCTGGACTTGTTGGGCACTAGCAGAAGATGACACCTGTGCAAGCTTGGCTAACACTCACATCAGGCTGCTGTCTGCCTGGAAATCCCAGATTAGCTCCAGCTCAGCTAATGTAAACCACAAAAATCCTACTGAAGTCATGACAGCAGGGGTTTTTTTTTTCCCCTTCCTTGTTCTTCCACATGGGAAAACTGCCTTGTCCTCAGCAGTTTATGTGGAGCAACCTAACTTGAACAAGGCCCAGTCTTTTCCTTGGGCTAAAGATCTAACAGGTCTGCCCACATTTTCATGGAATTTGTGGAAAAATGAGAACAAGAACCAGAACACTGACATTCAAACAAGAGCCCTACCCACCAGTCCACTCTGTGGCCTCCTTAAAGTAAAGGCTGTTGCTTTTGTGCAAAGCAAAGCCTGAATAAATGTATTTATTTTGCAGACTCATCAATTTTGTTCAGTACTGTATGACAGTTATTCTCTGCATTTTGTAACATTCACCTAAAAGGCTGCAGGGACTACAGAAAACCACCTGAACCTACATTTTCACAACTATGCTGTGATTTAATATAGAAAGCATATATTTAACTGTTGTATATCCTTCTCTGGAACTGATAGACCATAATGCTCTTTCATGGTATTTATCTACAAAGGATGGTACTACAGTAGCATTATTATGTGCTACATCCACCAACCATTATCAGAGCCAGTGGATTTGCCACGCAGCTCTTGCAAAATTTATGGAAAACTACTGTATGGCGGTATGACAAAATAAACATTAGAAGTGACCTCTGTGCAGGATTAAGATAAAAAACCCAAATAAACGATTTAAAGAAAAGTGACAAAAAGAAAGGTTAAATCACTTGCCATACGTGTTTTCCTTTTTAAATTGAATTTTTAAGTTTATGTAAGTGTGTTAGAAAAAAGGATATTAGACAGATACTTTTTACAGTTACACCCTGACAACTGTTTTGAAACACAAATGAAAACATGGGAAATTCCACATTAAAATGGCATAATAACAGCCTGTACTGAAAGTAGTTTTAGACTGTTAATATTTGCAAGGATTATTCTAATTCAATTCTGAAATATTTCATCTGAAAAACTAAGTGTCAGACTAAAGAGCTACCAGAGAACATTGGTCTGACATGAGGGAGAACATTTCAAACCCATATACAAACTAATTAGTGTAACAAAGGAAGATCCTCTCAAAGTTCTACTTAACTGCTTTTTCATCCCCCAAAAACACAGAAGCAGAAAAAGATATTTAAATTGGCTGTATTACAGCCCAGAATGTATTGATCTGTACTTCCAAAAGTCTGGATAACATATGATTTACCTTCCTTTTCCAAACCAGTTGCCAATACATGTAACGACACTCGGCCAGCCAGTAGTTTGCACCAAACCATTTGCTATCTGAAAGTATATAAAAATGATAATAAATAAACATACCCTATATTAACTCAGGTTCCTACACAATCCCTGCCGAGTGCTGCAGTGGGAAAAGGAAGCCCTCACAAATGCTCTGAATTTAGAAATTTAGCGGGGAGGTTTGAAAGTGATATTTTTTCCCCAAGAATAATCAAGTTACGATGTTTTGCAGAGATTCTTCCCTGTACCTACATCCCCACAATTATTTTATGATTTAAATCACAGACTGTTGTCGTTCAATCACAATGCTCACCAAAACTCACATTGCACTGAGAAGTGAATTCTCCACACTCAAATAGCAACACAGAAAACTTCACAGAATATTCTGAGTTGGAAGGGACCCACAAGGATCACTGAGTCCACCTCTAATGCTTATCTCAATCTGAGCATATGGCAAAGTGTGTTTGCAATCAAACAAAGTGGAAAAAAAAGAAAGCTTTAGGGGAGACTGGCTAACTTTGAACATTCACTTTAAAACGCTTAACAGACACCTGTAAATAAACTGAGAGGAGGAATTTACCTTACTATTTCAGGCTGAGGTAGGAACTAGTTCAGCCTCCACATTGCACAGATTATAACTTTAACTACCTCTAACCCTACTCTAGAATTACTCTCTCTAGAATTACACCTTAATGCAAAGGTCACAGTACAGTAACTGTACAGTGGGCATTTGACCATGCAACAAAATCACCTCAATCTACCCCACAAAAAAACAAGTAGGCTGGTGGTGCCAGACCACCCTTGGTATTCCAGGACTCACTGACCACATCCTACAGGGCAGCACTGCTAGAGACAGTCAGCTTAACCCTAAAGGAGCCAGCTCGTGCCCTGGAAACCACCTGATCCAAGAGGGCTGGGGCAGGGACAGGGTTAAACAGATTAATTGGTGACATGGTTACACAAGCTTGCTGTGCCCAAGTTAGTACCTGTGCATGCCATGCTGCCCAATGCCATGCAAAGGTGCCAGAGGAGATAATCCTACTGCAATAACACACAGGAAGCAGCAGTGCCAAGATGCAGACCTGCCCAAAACAGCTCAAGTGCTGACCATATCCTGCTCCTGACCTAAAGTGCATTTCAGGTCAACAGCAAATATTCTTGTGACACCTGATTAGTGCTCTGAAAAAATCTCACACAATGAATCTCATTACATAAGCCACACCAGTGTGGGAGACTGTTCATCATTAGCAGTATAAATGTAATTTTCCCGCAGAGAAGGCCAGGATGAGTCACTCAGGTCTTGGCAGACTGACAAAAGTAAATAGGCTTGTTTTAAAACTCGCCCACATTTAAGCTTGCAAAGATTTGATCATTGATTTGACACAGGGTGAAACACACTAATTTGTTTTCAAAGATTTCTTTCACTAGAAAAACATTTTTCAAAAACAAAACCTGGGGCTATCCACTCTGTCAGTTCTGCCTGTCATCACTGACAGTGTGTTCCAACATCTACACCCTCCCATCCAACCGCTAATCACTTGCGTGTAGCTGAGAAACACCCAACACAACACTGAACAGCACCACAGAAACTCTGGAGTGCTTAAATAACACCGTGCCTACCTGGGCCATGATGTAAAACCACAGATTATGTACGTTATAGAAATAACCCAATCCAAACATGGCAGTGAAGAGCCCACTGGCGAGCATCCCACCCGTCAGATAGTACCGGATCGGCAGCCGTTCTCCTATCAGTCCACTTGGAATGGGGAAGGAAATAAAGAGAAAGGCCATAATTAAAAATGAGATCATACCCCCAGCCTTCACAAACAAAGAATATTTTATGTTGTTTAATTCTGACTGAGGAGGAACTTTACTGGTAACTGCTGTTTGCCTTCACAGCAGCAAAGGAGCAATTTTTAGCGCTTGACAGGGGAAAAAACCCCAACAAACATTTCATGTTCATTAATTGCTAAGTTATGACACCTGCACAACCATCTTTCAGGTAGATACTCACCTAGAGTACATTTACTTACAGAGTCATTTTCCAAATGACAGGTAAGGTGGGACATGTCTCCAGCCTTTTAAAGTGAGACTTGTCTCCCTTGCTAATAATTCTAGTCATGAGGGTTCTGGTTTTAATAAAAAGAAACATCTCCAAACAGCAGCTAATATTGCACACTGTAAGATGGTTTTTAGGAGGTGTCTGCTTCCATCCTCTGACTCTAGAGAAAGCCAGGACAACTAGTTTAGTTTACAGGTCGGAGACTGATTGAGGACATATATTCCAGTGTATATTCCTTTGTGTTCCACATGAAGCAAAGACAGGCCAAGTTGGAAAGCATTCCTGCACAAGGCAGTCGTGATGGATGCAGGTAAGAAGCAGCTTTCTACAGATCAACAGATATGATACCACTGGGACTCGGGATGATGTGGGTTTTGTTCCCCCTCAGCAATCTGTTTCTCACTCTCTTCACCAGAAACTTTTCCCATAAGGAATCACAACATCTCAGAAGTTGTGTAGCCTCATAAATTAACAGTAAGCAATAAAGCAGGTTTCCAAGAGAGTGTATTTACCTTAAATACATTCCAACTGCATATGCACACAAAAACGAGTAATCCAGCGCTCCCAGTAACTGTTTGTAGTTGTTCTTATCTAAGAATAATTTTCAAAACAAATTATCAGTTTAAATGTACTAATTAATTCCCAACCATTTTTACATATAAGAAGAAAAATGTTAGTGAACACACACTGGCATTTAACTTTCAACAGGCGCTTTTACACTTAAGCACACATTTTGCAAAACGTTTTATTTAATGAAAATATAAAAATAAATGGCTGAAACATATAACAAAAATATTGGTAGGCCCATGCTTAACTCTACCTTATTCAAAACAGCATTTTGGAAGAGAAGAAACACCAGCTATTAATAAGGTGCCCTTGTATGTCCTTAGAAAAAAGAAAATCCCAACTGTGACTTGATTAAAAGTGGGAAGATGAGTTGCAAATGTGTGAGATCCTAACAGTCAAAATGGCTAAAAAAATTCCATCATCACAGAGGTTTTTAAAGAATCAGTTTAATATGCTTTTTTTTAATTGTTAAAGCCTTTTGCATTTCATTTTCCAACTATTCACAGGGCACAGAGTTTTGCTTAAAAAAACCCCAACAGGGTTCTGCTCTGTACAGCAAACAAGCATAATCACACCAAAATGGGACTTGCAGACAGGATGGAGGGAGCAGAAGGGCCTCCACCCAGATGGAAATGCCAAGTCTACTCTCAGGAGACCTGAGCTCATACCAAGAAAGACAGTTTGTGTATTTATTTGCAAGGAGCCACAATTGCCATTGACTTTGAGCATGAAGTCACAGACACAGAAGCATTCCTTCTTTCAGTGTCAGTCCCAGCTTTCCCAGCTGCACTGCCTGAAAAAAACAGCCAAAAACCCAAGTCTAGAGTGCCATTCCAAAGGGGCAGCTTGGCAGTAACCCATGTGTTCATGAAAAAGGAGGACACTGGAGCTCAGAAGTCTCCACTAGCAAAGCCAAGCAGTGTTTCAGACAAGCAAACTCAGCCTCCCCTCGGTCCAGGGACAAGAAACACCAACCAAGTTTAACTACATCCCATCCAGTGGGACTAAATCATTTCAGCAGACCTTGCAACAGGCAGTTAATACATTGGATTTTGTCCACAGAAAACCCAGAGCTCAGATCTTTAATTATCTTTGAACAGAGTAGCACCTTTTTTTTTTTTTAATTGCTAATTAAGGACTAATTAGAATGGATGGCTACACTGACTGAGGTGCACTGGCACACTGACAGAATGGACTATTCTACTTCACTGATGTTCCTGGTAGTAATAAAAGCATCAAGGAATGGTTCAAGGTTTCCCTGAAATTCAAATACAATTAAATTCAAATGTAATTGTTCAGTAGGCAAATATTAGTTTCCTATTTAAGTGAAAGGCCATGTCCATAAAATATTCAGTAAGTTGTCAAGTCTATTCTGAAATAGTATCCTCTTTTTCTTCATTAAAATGGAAAGAAAGATATTTCTTCCAGCAGATAAGGACTCTGAAAAGTTCTGATTTCGATAAACACCAAGTCAATTAATTTAAAGGGTTGCTGGACCTTGAATTAAATGAGTAGAAAATTATAATGATTTATTTTTTCACCCTTTTTTCCTTAATAGACACACTAAAGACAAATCCCATTTTCTGACTGAACACTGCTCTACTGACACCATCTCGTAGCTGTAACAAGTAAAATAAGGTCACCTGTTTAAGTGACTTTGAGCAGGAGAGACATCATAAGGTAGGTCACAGCTTAACTTTCTTTGGAGAAACCAATTAGAAGGTGGAAAACAAAACACCCCTTCCATGCACATCTTCCCAGTACCTCCATATGTGAAGAAACAGCAAGAAGCAAATAATCTAATTATGAATATGAGCTCATTATTGGGAAAAACAGAAAACCAAAAAAAAACCCCCAACCCTTACCAAATGGCTCCCATCCACACTGAGAGGCGTTAAATGGCTTTTTGAGAGGCTGAATCTGGGCAGCATATTCTTTGTAGGAGTCAAGTTCAACTTCATGGGAAGCAGCACAATGCTTATGCAGCTCTCCCTGGAACGGAAAGGACATTTGAAAATGGAAAAAAACTCACTTGTGAGCTGGGGACTGTTAATTCCCATACAACAACAAACTTAACAAACCCAGACCGACGTGAACCTGTGTCAAACCCACCAAAATCAGGAACATTGTTAGCCATTATTAATTGCTTGGCATTTTGATGAGTGAAGCCACCACTACATGAAATAGTTAATCACATGGTTAGAAAAAACATTCTATAGTGAACTAGTGAACTGGTGTTTCTGATAGTGAACAGCTCTGAAATTCTGCAGTAACATCAGGTACTTTGCCCATTGTTACTCACCATTTATATACAAGACAGCACTGGGGGATTTGATTTGAGTTTGGCAAGTTTTACAGGCTGAACATTAAACTAACAAACCTTGAATTATGGAATATTTTGCCACCAGCTTTACCAGAAACAGAGTCCCAAGTGTACAGACAACTATGATGTTCAACAGCACTTGGAACACTCTTGTAAATGCCAAGGCAATGTTATCATGCTCAACTCATCAGTTATGAGCAACTTTTCTCAAAAATATCACTGCAAACCTCTCAAATACCTATAATTAGATTAAGACACGTGAATTAAGTGTAGGCATAGCTGTGCCAAGTTCTAAGCCCAAAAACCAGACGTACATGCAATATTCTAGGTGTGGTCTCACTGAAGTTTATCAAGCAAATGTCACTGTGTACTGGCTTTATCAGTTTTTCATATTGAAGCCACTTCAAGTTAAAGTTTAACACTGCCTTTCACAATGGGAAATACTAAAAAGACAATGACTTCTGTGTTTGAGGAGCAGAAGGATGTTTAAACAAGGACAGAACCCTGCTTACCTTAACTATACTAATAGGTTTCCTTGATAAGTGGAAGCTGGCATACAGCAGGAAAGTGAGAGAGAAAATGAAGGCTCTATACCTACAATATAAAATAAAAAGTGTTTGAAAATTATTTTATTTAGATCTCCTTTTAGCACCAAGTTACACAAAAACATCTGCCTTGTTTGCAACTTCCTTTGGGGGCTATTAAATGTCAGTTCAACATTAAACATACTGATAAACAGATTTCACACCTCACCGTCTCACTGGGTTTTCTGGTATGATTAGGATATAAGTGATGGCTCTCTGAGTTGGCAGTTTGGATACTGTGGGTTATTACTTCCTTGTTTTCTTACTGCTTTTAGGATTCTGCTTTACTTTTGCCCTCCTCTGTAACAACAGAAATCAGCTGTTTCCAGAGATGGACAGACAGAGTGTCCTGGAACACATGAACATAATTAAGCAGGTTTGGGATTGGGAAGGAATTCTCCTTTGTGCCTCACTGGCATCCTCGGGTCTTTCTCTGCAGTTCAGCTGAATTAAAAGTGCATCCCAAAATCCCTATCACTGCAAGCATTAAACAAAGACAATAAGCTGATCTATTCTCTGCTCTACCTGCAGTTTCAGTTGTTTAAGGAGAGCACTTTGTGGAATTGTGCTTTTAACAATACACAGAGTCCAAGTGTATTTGCTGGTTCCTTCTGGCCTTGATCTTAAAATCAACATCAGGAAATAAAAGTACATATATAAATACAAATATCTGATATCATACGGACTACTATGGTCCCTGATTTTTAATTAACGTTTTTCAATAATTTTTTGCCTTACAAACTTTTATATAATCAAGGCCTTGTTTTATAGTTCTGGTATATTGACAGAGACACTAGAAGAGTTATCCCACAAGCTGAATTACTCTCACAACTGAAAACACAGTTTTCACTGAAAACACACATTTATTCCTCACAAGGAATAAAACTGAAATTACTTTGTTCCTGCTGCTATACTAAACACATGATAAAATTGCTCAAATGGAAAGTGCTTGGTCTTTCATTTGTTTTTTTTTTTTCCACACACAACTGACTCAGTCTTCTATCTCAGAAAGCACATGAACTGATGTCACAAAACTTCCAGAATTATCTTCTTGAGCAAAGAGGATTTGATTTTGGTTTGGTTTTTTTGGGGAATTTTGTATTGGTTTTGGGTTTTTTGTGTTTTGTTGTTGTTGTTTGTTTGGGGGTTTTGTTTGGTTTGGGGGGTTTTGTTTGGTTTGGGGGGGGGGGTTTTTTGTTTGTTTGTTTTATTTTTGGGTTTGCTTTTGTTTTTAATATTACAGTAGCAAGAAGTGAAACTGTAATTGTACAAGTCTATATTAAACATCAAATTATTGGGGAGAAAATACACTTCTGGTTAAGAAATGAAAGCTTACCTTGAGCCACTCTTCCTACCTAAGAGCTTGAAAATAAAAATCTAAAATTTATCATTTAAATACCTTCCAAAGAAAAGGACAAAAGGCTAGTAAGGGTTTGTTTGGGTTTCCCAACAAAGCACCTTACTTTTTAAATGTCATCAATATTTATTATACAACTGGCTATATTTTCTTCCTGTATATATTAAGCAATGAAAAAGCAAAAATAGAGCAGTGTGATCTTCCCGGATACAAATTCACACTGTCCACAAAGATTCACCACCATACTTCAGGACTTACCACTGATCTCGTGAAAATGAAGTGATGAAACGAATCCCAGGAGGAAGTTGAGCCATCTACACTACGGTTGGTACCAAATTTTAGGTGACACAATTATGTACTCGTGACAGTGTTTTCTGTTCTTCTGAATGTGTAACAAAGACCCCCTTGAAGCCGTGGGATGGCAGGTAAAAAATGTGGAATATCTGCTGCTGAGCTGATCTCCCTGTAGGTTTTTAGTCTTACACCTTCAGTCTCGACGTGGCAAATCCTTCACTCTGCCTTTGTCAACTGCTGATCTTCAGATAAGAGAAGCCGATAAGTAAACAGTCTGATGGAGGATTTGTAATATTTTCTAACCATAACATTTGAATCAGCAATTATCTACTTCAGAGGCAAGTAATTACCGTAACTAACCTTCTAGCCATCAAAAATGTAATGGAGAATTTTAAGCTGATATAAAAATGCAGCCTTTTCTGAATTTTATCACTTACAATGCATTTTGAGAACTCGGCATAGTACAAAGCAGCAGAGACACAAAGGGAAGATGCACGCAGAACTTGATGCAAAGCCAGCTGACATCAAAACACTTTGCTTTTGTCCCGGAATGGCTACAAGCAGACAATTCCCCAGCCCACAAAGATCTGTTTAAGCACATCAGAAACATTCATGAGCTTGCAATCAGTTCAAAAATGGCTGTAGTGTTTCCAGCTCCGAACAGAGACTCCTCCAGCTTGAGAGTGGGTGCTGCTGAACAATGCTGCCAGCAAGACTTGACTAGCACTCCCTTTTCCACCCCCTTTCCCTGTCCCAGTGGCAGTGCTGCACAAAGCACCGCATCGTCAGAAAACTTGGAAAAGAAAATAAACAACTTTTTTCACCACCTGAGCTCCCTGCACCAGCACAAGGGGAGAAGGCAGCATCTCACGTGTCCATAACAGGAAGGGGAGAGAGAGACTCTGGCAGCATCAATTCAGTTTGGTTTAAAGTTTCAGAGTTTCTCCTGTTTGTTCAAACATGGGCTGAAGTCCCTCAACAGAAAAAAAAATGCACAATATCTTTACTGCAGGTACTGCACCAGAGAGCAGCTGCACTGTTAGTTGGCAGCAAGTCAGCCAACTGTTGAGGGCGACGACAAAAGGCACTGTAGGCAAAAGGTGTGACTGCAACTCACGCATGAGAACCCTCCCTGTGTGCTCACAGCAGAGCCACCCCATCAGGATGTCAAGTTAAGACACCAGGGCCTGCAGCATAACCCCTACCACCCTCCTGGTAGCCCTGCTAGTGGGTCTAATGACAGCAAAAGCCACTGATGGGAAGTTGGTAGGATACAGGATCAGCTCTCCTGGTAAACAAAAGAAAACACACCTGCCAAGCAAGTAAACAGACCTGCCCAAGACCAAGGGTTGGTCTTAACATGAGATCATCTTCATTGCCCCATCTTATCACAGAAATCAAAACTAATCCTCAATCAGATGACTGCCAACACCAAACAGGATCTGCTGTGTCCAAGCCAGCAACTTGAGAGCTTCACTACCCACAATGACTTTCTCCCCAGGAATGGAGGAAAACCCACCTCTTTCCAAACAGAGTACCCCAACAGAAAATTAGGGGTCTGCTTCTTTATGCTAACACATTTTTGCCATAGCTTTATTTTTTCCAGTATCCTGGTTCAGTTTGACACCTCCCTCCCCTCGAAGTGAGCTGACTTGCTAATCTCGTTTGGCATGTTTCACCCCCACACACCTCCTCAGCCCTGAATCAGTTGTGCAATTAATTAAACCCCGTAATCATTCCCACCCAACATGGGTTTCCTACCTCCTCTTTGAGGTTGCAGAGGTTAGGGAAAGTGCAACCCTACACCCTCCTCCCCTCTTCCACTCCCAGATGCAGGTCCCTGATTCCCTCTGTGTCAGACCTTGCAGTTGTACAGCCATGGTTCAGGTGGCTGATTCATCAGAAAACCTGCCCTGAAATGCAGCTGATCCAACAGAGAATATTAATTCATTCTGTAGTCATAAAACTGCTACTTAGGATTAATCCAACGCAGTAGGAGCATAAAGGCAGGGACTGAAGGTGGGATTGCCCCTTCCAACCACAGCTGGCTAGTTAGGTCAGAGGAACTCAATTTCAAAACAACGACTTGTCAGTAATCTGTGTTTGGTTGATAGCCCCAGTAGCAGAAGAAAGGTAAGAAGAAAAATAGGTTGGCACAAGCAGCCCCCAGCTGGAGGGAATTTTTCTTCCAGCAGCAACAAACCTATTTCAGGGTGATCCCAAACCCCACTTCTCTCTCACAGTTATCCCCAGACACCAAAATTATTATTTAACTGACCACACTAAGCAAGGCGACAGAAATATCTACTGGGAAAAAAACTGAGAAGCCAGCTGAGAACAAAAACCCGAGGTCAAACATCTCCTTAAATGGTTCTTTTAAAATATAATGGGACAAGGCAATTATCATCATAGCAAAGCAATTATTTAACAAGCTACTATTTAGCAGCTTTAGCCTAAGCAGGAAAAGACTTCACAGATCTTACAAAAGGTTTCAGTACTAAGTGGTCACACAAGGTTGCACATCTGTGCACCTGCTGCACAGATGGTACTCGCACCACCTCCCAACAGTAAATCCCATCACCCGGATCCCAGTCACTTCCCAGCAAAGATGACTGGACTATAAGCAGCACAGAGAGGACTGCACTCGAACTCTATTTGACAGAGGTTGATTTCATTTTATGTACTGCAGGGAGAAACAGCTGAGTTCTCAATTACTTGTCAACAACTTATCTCTGTCTCCACGTATCCGTAAATTCCTCTGACGTTCACGTGCTTTTTAATAAACAAATAGAACATCCTGCACAAAAGCAAAGGAATTTGTGGCAATAAAACTTGTGAAAACAGGTTATAAAGATCACATCCTCCCGTAGATTAAGCTAAATTTTAAAAGCCAAGCTATACTTCAGAAATTACATTAATAGGGTACAAAACATAACTGTTAGTTTGCCAATACATCATTTGTATTTCTGGTTTACTAATGAAGCTCAAGGACAATATCGAATTTAATCACTGAAACTGGCTTTAGGTTCTTTCATTTTCTGCAACTATTTCAGCCGACAGCCAAACAAACACTTCACTTCCTCCTTGCTGTACTGCAACCTGTAAAGCGATATTCCGGTACTTAGTTTGAAACCATATTTACCTTCCAAAATTGGTATTGCTCCTTCAGGCTTCCCACTGGGTGAAACATTCCTCCCTGCTTCGGGAAAACAGTCATCGGTGACCGGCCTTTCCCTCTGCAAACACGGTAAACCCGGGATCAGCTGTGCTGGAGAGGCAGAGGGAAGGAAGGTCGTGCCTGGCCAGGCACAGCTCCCCAGAGGGCAGAGATTAAGTCAGTGTCTGCAAACAGCGGGTAACCAAACCCTCCTCGGGGTGTCCTTAAGGGCTCAAAACGCCTTCGCACACACGCAGGTCAAATGCACGTCGCGTTTAACGCCCGGCAGCTCCGCACCTGAGCCAGAGCCTGCCAAACCCACCGCTCCGGGGCATTAAATGGCCATGTTCATTCTATTTAAGACACAAAAAACCCCAGTTCATCCTGGCTTAGCCACAGAGGGGCACAGCCCCGGTGAGCACATCGTGGGTCGGGGCCCCGGGACCCGCAGGACTGACCGCCCCCGGAGCCGCCCCGGGGGCCAAGGGCAGCGCCAAGACCAAGAGCGGGAGCCGAGCCCAACCCAGGGGCAGCTCTCGGCAGCGCACAGGGGCGGACAGCCGGGGCCGGGCACCCCCGCCCGGTGCCCGAGCGCTCCCCGGGCACCCCCGCCCGGTCCCGCCGCTCCCGAGCGGCCCCGCGGCCCGGGAGCCGCCCCCGCTCCGCCCCCGCCGCGGGCACGGCAGGTGCACGGCCGCCCCCGCCCGCCGAGCCTACCCGGCAATGCTGATCCCGGCGCCGGCAGCTTCCTGAGTCCCCGTGTCCCGCCGAGCCGGGCTGTGCCGGGCCGGGCGCGGCTCCGGATCGCCGCCCGCCGCCGGAGCTGCGCGGCGGGACCGGGCGGGCTCGGCCCCTCCTCCCCGCCGCACCGAGGAGGAGGAGGAGGAGAAGGAGGAGCCTGCGGGGGGAACCCTTTGCATGAGGAATAGCAGTTCCCGCGGGTCATCCTGGCCGTCTACTCAGCGCTGGTGAGGTGCATCTGGGATGCTGTGAACAGTTCTGGGCTCCTCAGACATGGAGCTCCTGGAGTGGGCTCAGAGGAAAGTGTGAGGATGATGAAGGGACTGGAGCATCTCCCTTACAAATAAAGGCTGAGGGAGCTGGGCCTGTTCAGCCTCGAGCAGAGACGACTGAGAGGGGACCTCTTCAATGTGTATAAATACCTAAAGGGAGGGTGCTAGGAGGATAGACCAGGCTCTTCGTGGTGATGCCAAGCAACAGGACACGAGACTGGGCACAAACTGATGCTCAGGAAGTTCCACCTGAATGTGAGGAATAACTTTCTTGTGCAGTGACCAAGCACTGAAACAGGTTACCCAGAAAGGGTGTGGAGTCTCCCTCACTGGAGATATTCCAGAACCATCTGGACACAATCCTGTGCCATGTGCTCTAGGATGACCCGGCTTGAGCAGGGAGGCTGGACCAGATGACCCACTGTGGTCCCTTCCAACCTGACCCATTCTGGGAACCGCTGCCCCTGGCCTCCCACAAGGCCCCAGCTCACCCCCAACCTGCTGGGTCAGGGAAAAGCTGCTCCCTTGTACCTGCCATTCCCACTGACCCACCTGTCACCCTGGCAGCCTCTCCCACTCCATGTGCTCCAGAGTGGTGTCCTGATCCCTCTGTGCTGCCTGGCATCGCCAGTAGGATCCCCAGGCAGGCAGCCCCCCGGCCTGGGTAGGTGTGCACAGGTGTCTCACTGCAGCACTGTCGGTTGCCTGCCAGACATAACACAAAGGTACTTCTGGTGCCAAACAGCAAATGTTAACAAATCACACACCAGGTCACCAGAAATCCAAAGGAAAAATTCAGTGGTGCTTCTTTAAAAAAGAAATAATATATTTATTTTAGTTGTTATCTGGTTTCCTGATCCTGCAGTGCATTTCAGCAACCGTATGTATTTCAAAGCTCAGTTATTTATATAAATGCACGCTTCCAGCTGCTGGTGCATTTCTTCATCATGACAGCCTCCCCAGTGCAGAAAACCCTATGCTGTTTCTTTCATCCAAGACTGAATAGCTGCTAACAGTTACTTCATGCAGGTTTAAATTTATCTGTATAACTGTTTGTCCCCTGTAAAGTATCCCCTGCCTGGCACAAACGACCTGCCTACGGCACTCGCTGAAGTGTTCGATTTTGTTCTGTCTTTTCCCTCTCCTCTTGCACTGCCTGTGCTGGAAATACCAATAAAAGAAACTCTGACTCCCAGTGTGATGTTACCTAGGCCCCACATGTCAGACACATGCTCAGCTTTGCTCCACAATCACAGTGGCATCTTTCCTTCACTTCCTCTGAGTCAGCAAATGAGCCCTTCACCCTTATTTTAACATTTGCAGAACCAGGGTCCCAGAGTTGCACCCATTGCAGATGCAGGTTGATGCTGCACAACCCACTGCTTTAAAGCTTGCTGGTGGCAGATGTTGATTCCAACCTTCTTGCTGCGATTTGTAAGCAGAGAATCAGAGGTTAAAAAAAAAAAAAAGCCTTCACATCATCTCCCCAAGTGCTACAAATTACCTACTTGGAAAACTAATGCAGTGCTCTTGATTATCATCAGTCCTCTGAGGAGATGATTTTGTTTCTCAGATAAAAGTAAAAGCCTCTACTCACTATCAAAAGGTCTCAAATTAGCACAGCTTTTACCAAACCATCCTGCAGTATAAAACAAACCACAGTTTCATTCAGTGTCTCAGGGAAAGGACAGTGCATGGTTGCTTTTTTAACAATACAGTCCCATGCCAACCCAAAAGAAAAAGCATCTGCCCCAAACCCTCAGCAGCTCAGCCTATTGTCAAAAATGGACATAGGGCTAAGTTTAGCAGACTCTGAACACTTGGAGATGGAGATAAACAGGCATGTCCCGGGGCTGCTTTAGCCCTCCACATCTACTGTCCCCTGCATGATGGTGCATGAAGTGGAGAAGGAAATGCTTCAAGCTGCTTTATTTTTTCTGAGCAGGCCTATCACAGAAATGTCCTTGCCTTACTGACAGGACAACTGTTCTCTGGGGTGGAAAAGCACACGCTAAAATCCAATATAGATGGGGTAGTTACACCCAGAGCGTCTGTGTAATGACAAATGATACTTGTCATTTTTGCTGTAACAACCAATTAGCAGAGACAAAACTAGTCAGGGGATGCTCCTCCAAGAACAGTGATTTGCATGAGTCATGTGGCTGCACTTTTGCACCGTAAGGCACAGACATCGTTTATTCTGATTCACACACACATACACATCAAAAAAATGAAAAGTTGTCTCTTTACAGCAGAAAAGGTCAGACCCATCAGAGTGCATTTGTATACATGGGTTAGCCATCTCAGCTTATCACAGCAACTATTCATCATCATGTGGAATCCTCATATTTTTTAAATTGCTGTCGCCTTGGCCCTTTTTAAATTCCTGAAGGAATTTAACCTCGCTTGAATATATTCCCATTCTCAGTTACAAGCAGCTTGCAAAAAGGATGAGCCAAACAGCCACAGAAACCCTGATATTTTTCATACTTAAAAGTAGAAACTGCATCTCCCATTCAAATAAAGGTTCCCTGCAATCCATTCCTTTAGCATCACTGAAACCTGCTGGCTGCCACACTTGGCACAGCTGCGCTCTCTGCTGTGCCAGTGTGGGTCACCAGCAGCTACAATTGCCAGAAGCCATCAAATAAGTAGGAATACAGAGAGAGGGAGCAGCGGGAGCTGGTGCTCCTGGTTGCACAACAGCCTGCTGGTGTAGAGCATCAGAGGAGGGCCAGAGGTCAGGCAGAGATAAAAGGAGATCTACAGCCAAAAGTACATGGATAAAAAAACAGAAACACAAGTTTTAAAATAACGTGTGTAATCTAGAGCCTCACAGCATAAAACCCAGAAAGGACACTTTACCAGTTACTTTCCAGAAGGAAACACAAATGAAGGATACAGTCCAGTAAATTAGGTAGAAAGTGTGGCAGCAGTTTGACTTTTTAAGCCTCTGGCGACATTCATATGAAAGGAAATAGAAAAGTACAAGCTTTTGTCTGCAAAACCAAACAGAAATAAAGATGTATGACTTGGCAGGTGCTGATGGATGCTTCTGACGGTGCTTCTCTCAGAGGAGATAATCTAATTTCCTAGTTGACAGTTAAATTTTACTTCCACGAGTGGTGCTTTAACTCCTCAAGAGCTGATGTAGCAGAGCACTTTGCAGTGGTGGTACAGTGGGTGTCACCATAGTCTTTCCTTGCTGAATAGGTGATGCTGGCTGAGCAGAGGTCTGGGTGCAGACTATTGCATCCTTTAGCTGATTCATATATTTATTTCCTTTCCAGTAAATTGCACAAGTATCTTTTATGATTCATAATTGCACAGATGGAAAAGGCTAATCTGTTTGGCCACAGAGCAGTCTCTTTGTCTTAGGGGATCAGAGAAACTCATACCTTATTTACATAGTAATGGGTTGTTAAATAGTATCTTACTATATAAAAATTGATATTTACTTAGACTTTATTCCCCACAAGTAGCAGGATTCCTAGGACTGATGTAATCACTGCTTTTATTTGCCTTTATTAGTTTTACATGCTTTGTTTTCCCAACAGAGCAGCTGGGATATTGTATAAGCAATTCACATCAACACTGGGTGCAATCCAAATATAACCTGCCATCGAGCTTTGGCAGACAGAAAAAAATAAAAATATCCAAAAGAGCCAAAAAATGGCTATGCCTGTATGTAAATGGGTATAGCCCTGCTGTGGCCACACTTAGGAGGGGCTGGAGGTAATGCAGCTGTGTTGGAAGCTCTCTAGCTGATTTAGCACACTGTGTCCTGCCCATTATGATAAATTTTAGTGCTGGCACAGTGCCACACTAATATGTCTCCAGAGTTTCCAGACTGGTACTTTCTTTGCATGCAGCTTGACAGAAATCCAGTGAGAATCACCAGGCAGAAGCTTTAGGAAAAGAGACCAGTGGACAAGAGCACTGGGCCAGCACAGGCTTTTCCACAGACAGAGCAAGACTGTACCTGAGTACTAATGGCTACTTAGGAAGAAAAAAAATATATAGCATGTGGAACATGGAGAGGGAGGGGCAGTAAAACTGTCTCCAGGCTGCCTACATAAAGATAGATATTGCTCTGACTGCAGGAGACATTTAGGAATGATGGCATTTATTTGAACCCTGTGAGCTGCCCTTCTGTCTCCGGTTCCATTCAGAAAAATGAGGTCAGTGGTGCTGGCAGTGTTCTGCTCTGACTCTCCCCAAGGCTTTCCAGAGGGCTGGAGAGTCTGACTGTTAAATCACCTCATGCTGTCTAAGGAAAGATCTGTAAAAGAAGTGGTTATAGCAGCAGTGGTGTCTACTGGGGCAGGATCTGCTGAAGGGAGCCCTGTCAGAGCTGCTTCACGTGACCTCTGGCTTCTGGGATCAGTGGCCCCTGTAGTGAGGATGGAGGTTCCTTGGTTAGAGACCCAAAATAAAATAGAGACTCAAAGAAAAATGAAAAGAATGTTCTGAGAATGCAGAATTTAAAAAACAAGCAAGCAAACAAACTGCAAAAACAGAAACAAAACCAAAATACAACCAAGCCGTCGTTGGAATCTGTGAAACGATATGTGGAGCATCTTTCATCACAAAATACAATTCTATTTTGAGGAACTTATCTTGAAGAATCTAATTCTACTTCCAGCAGGAAATGGGATAGTTTCTCTTGTTACTTTGCCCTTATTTCTAGTCTTAATTTTCCTGGAGAACAGAGTGGAAGTGCAAGATATGGCTGCAGAAACTACTGCTGAGGAGTAAACAGGGTGAAATAGGCAGGTAGGCTACTGACAGATTTCCTTTCTCCTTGCTT